AAATACTTTTTGTGGATCAAAAGATCTGGAAGGGTTACTGTAGGTGAGTAGGATTACTGTAGATTTCCAAAATCTAGAAAAAATATTGTAGATCACAAGAGCTAGAAAAAAACACTTTTAGAAAATTTCTAGATCTGAGAGGATTACTGTAGTTTCAGGAGGAATCAGGAAGACTACTGTAGATGCTAAAATTCTACTGATTCAGAAAAAAGGTACTGTAAATTCTGGGGTACTGTAGAAGTTTTGACGCCAAAAAACACTTCCCAAACCAAAACTGTCAATAAAATTGGCTCTATTTTCACTTTCTGCCAAAACCCCAAAACGATTTTCACTTTTTCCTCAAAAAACTGAAAAAACCGGAAATTTTCTGAATTTTTTGGGAGGACTTATGCTAAATACGAAATTTTTTGACCAGTTTTTCGGAAAAAAATGTGATGATTTTTTTAGGAGAGAAAAAAATTTGGAGGCGAATGAAAATTGAGAAAAAGGTTCTTCTTATCAGTGAGTGGCCAAAAATTCGGAGGGTTGAAAAAAAACCAAAAAAAAATTTTCCTGGCCAGTCAGTCAGACATAAAAACATACAAACACAACAAAAATTGCGGAGCAATTTTTTTTTCTTTTTTTTTTTTGAGGAGGCCTTGGATATCCGATTTCAGAAGGGGCACACAGCGAAAAAAAATGAAAAAAAGTAGGCACAAAAAATTTGATGACGACATTTTTTTGGAGCCAGAAATTTTTGGGCTAGAAAAAATCTGAAAAATTTTGGACTTCTTCAAAACACCTAAAATTTTCTGAAAATTCAGATTTTTTCAGAAATCTTCTGAGTTTTTGACGAATTTCTAGAATTTTCTGAAAACTTCAGAGATCAAGAAAATATTCTGAAAACTGTGAGGTTAAGCTTGAATGTTCTGGAAATTCTGAAAAATCTTGAAAAAATCTAGAATTTCAGACATTATTCGGACCTCTGGAAATTCCTCTGAAATTTCTAGGAAACATCTAGAATTTTCTGAAAGTTAGAGAATTTCAGATAAGCTGAAAAGTTCTAAAAATTCTGAGAAAATCCGAAAAATTATGTGGTTTCTGGAAAAGAGTTCAAATATTTCAGAAATTTTTGGAAATTTTTTAAATTTTCGTTTTTTTCATAAGCCTAAGCTCATTCCTAAGCCTAAGATCTCATCTAATCCTAAGCCTAAGGTTTTACCTAAGCCTAAAGTCTTGATTAAGCCTAAGACCCTTCTAAGGCCCTTCCAAAGCCTAAACCTTTGTCTCATGATTTTTGAAATTGCACTTTTTATCAGTGCATCTTTTCTTCTTCTCAATAAAAAAATAAAAACAAAACAAAACAAAAATTCCCAGTGTGTGTGCTCTTTTTGCTCCGAGAGCAACGCAAAAAAAAGTATCATCTTTTTCTTCATTTTTTTTGTTTCGCAGAGATTTTTGCTTGATGTCACAGATGACACAAAAAAAAGTGTGTAACTATACAAAATGTCCAGTTCGGACAGAAAAATGAAACAAAAAAATGAGGCTGATGGGATGTGATGATAACCCACACAGATCAGCAATTTCGAGAGGGGATCTTTGAGGCTTAGGTTAATAGCTTAGGCTTAAGAAGCACCTTAGGCTTAGGAAATACCTTAGGCTTAGAAAAACCTCAGGCTTATGAAGAGTCTTAGGTTTAGGTATAACCTTAGGCCTATGAAGAAATGAACAATTTCCGAATTTTCAAAGATTTCTGAAATATTTGCAGTCTTTTCCAGATTTTTCAGAAAAATCACATGATTTTTCGAATTTTCTCAAATTTTACAGAAATTTTCAGCTTGACTCTTCTGAGATCTGAAAAATCCTGAAACTTTAAGAAAATTCTAGAAGTTTTTTTAAGATTTCAGAGGAATCTCTAGATATTCGAGTAATGTCTGAATTTCCATTCAGGATGCTACTTAGGTTTAGGTAAGTCCCTAGGCTTAGACAAGAGCATAGACTTAGGAAACACTTTAGGCTTAGGAAACACCTTAGGCTTAGACAGAACTCTAGGGTTATAAAGTGTCCTACGATTCAAGATGCTCCTTAGGCTTGAAATTTACGTTATAGGCTTAGGTAAGTCCTCAGGCTTAGGAAAAATCATAGGCTTAGGAAACACTTTAGGCTTAGACAAGATCTTAGGCTTAGGTAAGACCATAGGCTTAAACAGTAACATAGAATTAAGGAAGCTTAAGGTCAGATCTTCCTAGCTCCCTCCAAAACCCACCGCGTTCTCCAAGCCACACACATCGTTTAAAAGTCTGAAACTCATGGCTCGTGACTTTTTCGTCGGAGCACACAAAAAGAGCTGTTGGCTCTCAGCTCGAAGAGACCATAAAAAACGGGGAACATCTCCTCCTCTGGAAAAAACGGCGATGAGGTGGCTGGCTGGCTGGAAAAAAAACACGGCGGCCCTCAGGCTCTGCTCTTCTATTTCTCGTGTGTTCGCCCAGCTATTTTTTTCGCTTTCGTATAGTTCGCTGTTTTCTTTTTTTTTCAGACACACATACAAACATAACAGAAAATGGCAGGCAAAAAGAGAAGAACGACGAAAAAAAATAGAAGAAGAAGAAGAAGAATATATATATACAGCACAACACAACAACAGAGCGAAATGAAAGGAAGGGAAGGGAAGAAAAAAAGAGCTGGAGGCAAGGGGTCAACGATGATTTTTGGAAGAAGAGAAACGAGCATGTGACCATGGCTAGGGGGCCTAGATCAAAAATATCTAGATTGTTTACAGATGTTCAGGGGATCTAGGAAGGTCTGGGAAATAACACAAAAATACACACTCGCTCCGCTCGGACCGCTGAAGTGGAAGTTTCCGGGGCGCTTTGCGCAAGATTCCAGGGTCAACGATGATTTTTGGAAGAGAAACGAGCATATGACCCACCAGAGGGAAATAACTGACAAATCAAAAACATCTAGATTGTTTACAGATGTTCAGGGGAGTTGCCAGGGGATCTTTACAGCAGCTGGGAGATTTAAGAACGGTTGATTTTTGAATATTTTCATCAAAATCCGCTGAAAATCAATGAACACTTCCCTTTTTCATGAAAAAATGTGCAGTGAAATTTTGAAAATTTTTATTAGCTTCCCGCCCGAATCGAAGTTTTGGTTCGGGCGGGGATTTTTTTTTTTTGAAAATTTTTGTACAGTATCCTTTTTGGACACGTCTCGTCAGGCGTGATTCCCAGCTGCAGTATAGGAAGATCTGAGAAAGAGCACAAATATATACACTCGCTCCGCTCGGACCGCTGGCGCGGAAGATACCGGGGCGCTTCGCGCAAGCTTGCGGACATACCGCTGACGCGGGAGATTCCGGGGCGCTTCGCGCAAGCTTCCAGGATGATCAGGTTTCGATTTGAATCTAGAGACCTCCTTAAGCTTGGAAGTAAGAACCTCAGAATCCTGGAAAGCTGAAAAGGAAGTCTAGTTATCTTAACCTAAAAATCTGAAAATTTGTCTGAAAATAAGTCGCTCACAATTAGCTTTTTGAGAATCTAAAACTTCCAAGTTGAAAATTGTGATCTGAAAATTGTTCCTGAAACTTTTTTTTTTGATTTTCAGCTTAAAAATTTAGGTCTTGCCCAGTTTCAGTCAAAAATTCCAGACTTCTAAATCCCAAAATTGATCCAAAAAAATTCAGAACGTCATTGAAACGTATCCCAGTAATTCCAGACGTCCAGAGCCGCTTACAGCCCATTTTCAGTCAAATTTCAGCCAAGCCTCATCCATCTCTTTCCAAATCCTAGATATATATCTTGTTGTTGTTTTCATTTTTGTTTTTTTTCTTCTCCTCTAGTCCTAGCTATCTATGTTGTGATGTGTTTCTCCTTTTTCCAGCCAATTTTTCAGCAGTTTTTTCTATACGATGAGTCCGTTTTTGTTTTGTTGTTGTTGTTTTTTTTCTCGAGGAAGAAAAAAAAACGAAAAAAAAAAAGAGAAAAGCAGCTGTTTTCCGAAAGAAAACTAAAAAACTAAAAAAAAATGGACGTTGTTTTTTTTTGGTTTATTTTCGGGGGTTCAGAAAGAGAAAAAAAACAAATTTGCGAAAAAATATGGAAAAAAACGTGACGTGAACCCGAATCTCAACGTGGAATTCGACATTTTTCATTTTGCAAAAAAAAACCACGCTGAAAAACGATTTTTCAGCCAAAAAAACAAAAAAATAATAGTTTGTCCGAGAGAAGTACACAGATTCTCTGTGTGCAATTGTGCGTCGTGGTGTTTGCAACTGTTGAGGCGGCAAAAATATTTTTGAATTTATTTTTCTTTTTTTTCGTTTTCAATAGATTTGGACCGAAAAATAGGAAAAATCTTTGAAAAACGTTGGATTTTGCAGGAAAACAATCAACAATGTCGCCAGACGAACCATCAGATCAAATAATCTTGAAGTTCATCGTGAAATGCTGTGTAATTAATGTTGGCGGCTCAATAGAGGTATGTGATAAATATAGCCTAACTTTTACCCCAAAATCTCCAAATTTCTCAAATAAATTTAAAAAAAACAGTTTTGATCGATCAAAAAAGTATTGTTGATTTTTGTGAGCGGAAATCGAAAGGATGGGCGGGCAAAAATCATCGACCGGTCAGAAAAGGACAGAAATACACCGTGAAAGAAGCATGCGCGACCTTTTTTTGATCAGATTTTACGGCTGGTCACTGAAAAATCAAATGTGGGCGGGGCTATAATAAATACAGGGTGGAGGAATTGGATTTGGTCATTTTTATTTGATTTTGGTTTTAATTTTGAATTTGCTCTAGGCTTAGGCTTTTAGGCTTTCATGGGGTGATTAAAGTCGAAAAAAATTTAAAAAATTTTCGCTTCAGAAAATTTCAAAAAACTATATTTTTTTCCTATTTTTTTTGACATTTTTGTGTGGAAAAAATGTCAAAAAATAGGAAAAAATATAGTTTTATCGAAATTTTTTGTCAAAAAATGTTTTTTTTCACGATTTCAATCAAAAATTCCAGGAAAAATGACCAAAAAGCACAAGAAGCCGGAGCTCGCCGAGCTGAAACAAGAAGTCAAAATGGACGAGCACAAAATTCCGCTCCGCCAACTCGCCGAGCGCCTTCAAACCAACCTGGACACAGGGCTCACTTCCGCTCGCGCAGCCGAAATTCTTGCGCGGAACGGACCGAATGCCTTGAGCCCGCCCGAAACCACACCGCAATGGGTGGTTTTTTGCAAGAATTTGTTTGGCGGATTTGCAATGTTGTTGTGGATCGGATCGTTTTTGTGTCTGTTTGCGTATACGGTGGATTGTTTGACGATTGAGTATCCGAATGTGGATAATGTTAGAGTTTTGGGGCTTTTCCTGGCATCCAGGGGGCTTGAGAGAAGCCTAATAGCTTCTAGGGGCTTTTCCTGGTCCCTGCGAGCCTTTGGGGGCTTTCCTTGGTCTCCTGGAGCTTTTCCTGGGCTCCAGGGGGCACGAGAGAAGCTCTGAAGCTTTTTGGACTATTTTCTGAGATCTGGAAGCTTTCTAGGCTATTTTTGAGCTCTAAAAGGCTTTGGAAGGCTTCAGAAGGCTTCAGAAGCTCATAGAAGCCCCTAGAAGGCTTCAGATGGCTTTAGAAGGCTCCAGAAGGCTTTAGAAGGCTTCAGGAGGCTTGAGAAGCCTTCTCAATCCTTTTGAAGGCTCCAGAAGGCTTCAGAAACCCTTAGAAAGCCTCGGAAGGCTCCAGAAAGCTCCAGGAAGCTCTAATAGGCTTTAAAAGGCTTCAGAAGGCCTTAGAAGCCCTCAAAAGGCCTCGGAACGCTTCAGAAGCTTCCAAACGGCCTCAGAAGGCCTCAGAAGGCTTCAGAATTCTCAAAAATCTCCATTTTTTTCCAGTTCTACCTCGGAATCGTTCTAATGGGTGTTGTGATCGTCACCGGATGTTTTCAATATTATCAAGAGAGTAATGCGTCAAAAATCATGGACTCGTTCAAAAGTCTGGTGCCAACGGTGAGTTCAGATAACTGTCGAATGTTCAGAGTTAGCGTAACTCAGGTTTGAGGGTGATTTTTGGACTCTCGGTGGGATTTGGAGCATTTTGAGACTAAATATGGGTATTTTTCATTGAAAATGAAGATTTAGGTGCTCAAAATGCGTCAGACAAGTTCTAGAAGTGATTTTCAGAGTCTAGAGCATTTTTGGACCAAAAGAGCTTTCCAAGGCTCACAATCCCCCGAATTTTCACAATTTCCCTCTTCCAGATCGCCCTGGTCCACCGTGACGGCATCAAACAAGAAATCAAGACGGAAAATCTAGTGGTCGGTGACATTGTCGAAGTCAAAGGTGGAGATCGTATTCCAGCCGACATTCGAATCATCTCAGCTTCCGGTTTCAAAGTCGACAACTCGAGTTTGACCGGAGAATCGGAACCACAATCAAGATCGGCTGATTGCACCAACGAGAATCCGCTGGAGACCAAGAACATTGCGTTCTTCTCGACGAATGCGGTGGAGGGAACTGCGAAGGGAATTGTCATCTACACGGGAGATTATACGGTGATGGGACGGATTGCGCATTTGGGTGAGAATTTTCAGAAAAATCTGAAATTTTTAAGCTGAAAATCCACGTGGAAAATATCTTCTAGAAAATTACCTTATTTTGCTCTCGACAAAAAAATTTCTATAAAAATCTTTTTAAATTTAATTTTTGAGCTGAAAATCCACGTGGCAGAATCTGGAATTTTAGAGAAATCTGAAATTTTCGAGCTGAAAATCCACGTCGAAAATCTCTTTTCTTTAAAAATTAGAAAATTACCTAGTTTTGCTGTCCACAAAAAAGATTTTCAAAAATTTTGAAAATTTAATTTTTGAGCTGAAAATCCACGTGGCAGAGTCTAGAATTTCAGAGAAATCTGAAATTTTTAAGCTGAAAATCCACGTGGTTGAATCAAGAATTTTAGAGAAATCTGAAAAATACACGTAGCAAAAATTAACGATCCTAACATGAGCAATGCAAAATTTTAGGCTCAAAGTGAAGTCTAGGCTTATCTGGACTCAAAATTGTAATCTCAATATGAGCAATACATTATTTAGACTCAAAATAAAGCTTTTAACATGAGAAATACCAAATCTTGACTCAAAATGAAGACTAGGCTTATCTGGACTCAAAAAATGCGCATTTTCCGAGCCACAATAGCTCTCCAGACCCCCTAATCCCATACATTTCCAGCTTCCGGTCTTGACACTGGCATGTCCCCAATCGCCCGCGAAATCGAGCACTTCATCCACATCATCACCGGCGTCGCCATCTTCATGGGTGTCTCGTTTTTCATCATCGCACTGTGTTTGGGTTATCACTGGCTGACAGCTGTTGTCTTCTTGATCGGAATTATTGTCGCAAATGTTCCGGAAGGACTTATCGCAACTGTTACCGTATGCTTGACATTGACCGCCAAAAGAATGGCCAGCAAAAATTGTTTGGTCAAAAATTTGGAGGCTGTTGAGACACTTGGATCAACTTCCACAATTTGCTCGGATAAGACTGGAACGCTGACACAAAATCGAATGACTGTTGCTCATGTTTGGTATGATGGAAAGATTCATGGGTGTGATACGACGGAGACGCAGACGAGTCAGACGAAAAAGGAGGGAGAGAGTTTTGAGGTGGGCGAATTGACATTGCTCATGTTAAGAGCTTTCTTTAGAGTCTAAATAAGCTATTGCTCATGTCAAGAGCGTTATTTTTAGTCTAAATAAGGTATTGCTCATGTTAAGAGCAGAAATTTATCATTGCTGATGTTAAGAGATTTATTTTGAGTCTAAATAAGGCATTGCTCATATTTAGAGCAGAAATTTATCATTGCTCATTATAAGAGCGTTATTTTGAGTCTAAATAAGGTATTGCTCATATTAGAAGCATTATTAAGAGACTAAATAAGGCATTGCTCATGTTAGGAGCCTAAATTTTTTAGATTTTTGAAATTTGGATTAAAATGATACCTCATTTGATATGGGTTTAAGGGATTGCTCATATTAGGGTTTCAGGTGGATTTGTTAAGATCTTTCAAGGATTGCTCAGGTTAAGCTATTCCCAAGTCTTAGGAGTCCTCACCTTAAGATTCAAAATTTTATGTTTAGAGCAAAAATATGGTGTTGCTCATGTTAGGAGCATTATTTTGAGCCTAAATAAGGTATTGCTCATGTTAAGAGCAGTATTAACAGACTAAATAAGGCATTGCTCATATCAAAGTCCTCTTCCAGGCTCTTCTCCACATCGCCTCGCTCTGCAATCGAGCCGAATTCAAAGCCGGCCAAGAACAGACGCCGATTCTTCGCCGTGAATGCACCGGTGACGCTTCCGAGATTGCTCTTCTGAAGTTCACCGAACTCATCCACGGAAACATCCTGGCATACCGTGAAGCTCACGAAAAGCTCGCTGAAATCCCATTTAACTCGACGAATAAGTATCAGGTCTCGATTCATCGCAAGAAATCTGGAGCAGGATTCCAACTGGTGATGAAGGGGGCTCCTGAGAGGATTCTGGATGTGTGCTCGACGATTCTGACGAATGGCAAGGAGGTGGAGCTGTGCGAAAAGCAGCGGGCTCAATTTAATGAGGCCTATGCGGAGCTCGGAGGGATGGGCGAAAGAGTTTTGGGATTTTGCGATTTGGAATTGGCGGGCTCGGATTATCCGGAGGGCTTTGAGTTCAATGTGGAGGATTTTCCGCTCAAGAACTTGAGATTTGTGGGGTTGATGAGTATGATTGATCCGCCGCGCGCGGCGGTTCCGGACGCGGTAGCCAAGTGTCGTTCCGCAGGCATCAAAGTCGTCATGGTGACTGGAGACCATCCGATTACAGCCAAAGCCATCGCCAAATCAGTGGGAATTATCAGCGCGGAAACTGTGGAGGATATTGCCGCGCGGAAAGGCTGTGCGGTTGAGAAGATTCCGCGTGCGCAAGCCAAGGCCGCGGTGATTCATGGCGCGGATTTGAGAGAAATGTCGGATGAGGAATTGGGAGAGGTGATTCGAACGCATAGTGAGATTGTTTTCGCAAGGACGTCGCCCCAACAGAAATTGATGATTGTGGAGGGATTTCAGAAGCAGGGTGAGTAAAATTCTGAATTTTTTGAGCCCAAATTTGCTCTGAAACTTGGAAATTCGGGTTTTTCACGAAATTCTGAATTTTTTGAGTCAAAATTCGCTCTGAAACCTTTAATTTTGGATATTTTGGCCCAAATTTACCTTGAAACCTGGAAATTTGGATTTTTCACGAAATTCTGGATTTTTTGAGTCTAAACATGGCTAAACCCCTGAAATTTTTGGATTTTCAAGGAATTCTGGATTTTTTGAGCCCAAATTTACCTTGAAACCTTGAAATTTGGATTTTTCTGGAAATTTTGGGTTTTTTGAGTCTAAACATGGCTAAACCCCTGAAATTTTTGGATTTTCAAGGAATTCTGGATTTTTGATCCCAAATTTACCTTGAAACCAGAAAATTTGGATTTTACCTGAAATTTTTGGATTTTCACGAAATTCGTGGTTTTTTTGAGTCTTAACATGACTAAACCCATGAAATTTTTGGATTTTTCATAAAATTCTGAATTTTTTGAGTCAAAACATGGCTAAAACCTTGAAATTTTTGAATTTTCTCGAAATTCTGAATTTTTTGAGCCCAAATTTACCTTGAAACCTAAAAATTTGGATTTTTCATAAAATTCTGAATTTTTTGAGCCCAAATTTACCTTGAAACCTGGAAATTTGGATTTTTCTCGAAATTTTGGGTTTTTTGAGTCTAAACATGGCTAAACCCCTGGAATTTTTGGATTTTCAAGGAATTCTGGATTTTTTGAGTCCAAATTTGCTCTGAAACCTGAAAATTTGAGTTTTGGCACGAAATTTAGGTCTAGAAAGTCTGGAAATGCTGGAATTCGTAATTTTCAGCGATTTACAGCACAAAATGTGAGCCTAGAAGTAATTTTTAGCACAATTTCATACAGTAGCTTTTGACGAGTTTCTCGGCTGAAAGTTTGTGCTGAAAATGCTGAAAATTGCTGAAAATCGTTGAAAATCAATAATTCCAGCATTACACTTGAGCCTAGAAACTCTAGAAAAAAAAGACTAGGAAAATTGGGCCCAGAAATCCACGTTGCAAATTTTAGGCTTGAAAAAAGGCCCAAAAGTACACGTGGCGAAATCTAGGCCTATTCATACTCAAAATAATCCTATTAACATGAGCAATGCTAAATTTTGACTCGAAATAACGCTCTTAACATGGGCAATGCCAAATTTTGACTCGAAATAACGCTCTTAACATGAGCAATGCCAAATTTTGACTAAAAATGAAGCCCAGGCTTATCTGGACTCAAAATAATCCGATTTTTTCCAGGCCACATTGTTGCTGTGACAGGAGATGGTGTCAATGATTCACCAGCTTTGAAAAGAGCCGATATCGGAGTTGCTATGGGAATTGCTGGATCAGATGTTTCGAAACAAGCCGCTGATATGATCCTTTTGGATGATAACTTTGCCTCAATTGTTGTTGGAGTTGAAGAAGGAAGATTGATTTTCGATAACTTGAAAAAATCCATCGCTTATACTGTAACATCGAATATTCCCGAACTTTCGCCATTTTTGACATATATTTTGTTCGGAATTCCATTGCCATTGGGAACTGTTACTATTTTGTGTATTGATTTGGGAACTGATATGGTTGGTTTGGAAATTTAGGATTTTTTGGAGCTGAAAATCTCGCTGAAAATCCACGTGGCAAATTTTAGAAGCGAAATCTGGAATTATAGAGTCTAAAATTAAAAAACCCTGCATTTTTTGAGCTGAAAATCCACGTGGAATTCTAATTTTCGAAAAAAATTGAAGTTCAGAGTTTTCAGAGCTGAAAATCTGGCTGAAAATCCACATGGCAAATTTTAGAACCGAAATCTGGAATTATAGAGTCTAAATTTAAAAAAAACCTGAATTTTTGAGCTTCAAAATTTGAAAATTCCGGAATTTTTGAAGCTGAAAATCCACGTGGAAAATTGTTTTTTTTTTATTTTAAAATTCCGGAATTTTTTAAGCCACGTGGCATTTTTTTTTTTGAAAATTTAAAAATTCTGTAATACCTGAAAATCCACGTGGAATTTTTTTTCGGAAAGTCTAAAAATCCTCCGAAAATTCTGGAAACAAATGATGCCACTTGGATTTCCAGCCGAATTTTTTAAGACTATCTGAAAATCCACGTGGCAGTTTTTTTTCTGAAAATTTTAAAATTCGAAAGAATTTTTGAAGCTGAAAATCCACGTGGCAATTTTTTTCTGAAAATTTTGAAATTCTAGAATTTTTGATGCTGAAAATCTGGCTGGAAATCCACGTGGCATTTTTTTTTCTGAAAATTTCAAAATTCAAAAGAATTTTTTGAAGCTTAAAATCCACGTGGAATTTTTTTCGAAAAGTCTAAAAATCATCCGAAAATTCTGGAAAAATATGATGCCACGTGGATTTCCAGCCGAATTTTTTAAGACTATCTGAAAATCCACGGGGCAGTTTTTTTTCTGAAAATCTTAAAATTCAAAAGAATTTTTGAAGCTGAAAATCCACGTGGCAAAAATTTTCTGAAAATTTGAAATTTCCGGAATTTTTTGAAGCGAAAATCCATGTGGCATAATCTAGAATTTTAAAGAAATCTGAAATTTTTAAGCTACAAAATCCACGTGGCAAATTTCTCTGAAAATTAAAAAATTCTGCAATTTTTGAAGCTGAAAATCCACGTGGCCAAAAATTTTCTGAAAAAAAATTCGGTCGAAAATTCTGGAAAAAAATGTTGCCACGTGGATTTCCAGCCGAATTTTCAAAGACTTCTGAAAATCCACGTGGCAAACATTTTCTGAAAATTAGAAAATTCAAGAATTTTTGAAGATGAAAAGCCAAAATTTAGAAAAACCTGAAATTTGGAGCTGAAAATCCACGTGGCTATTTTTCTATACTTTTAAGAAATCATCTGAAAATGTTGGTCTGAAAATCCACATGCCTTAAAGCCCAAAATTCACCATTTCTGGCCTTGTAAAAGCCCGAAACACCTCAAAATCCACCATTTTCGGCCCAGTAAAAGCCTAAAGGCCAAAGCCTTCTTCCAGGTCCCCGCAATCTCGTTGGCCTACGAAGAAGCCGAATCCGACATCATGAAACGAGCCCCACGTGATCCAAATCGCGATAAACTTGTAAACGAGCGGTTAATCTCATTGGCCTATGGCCAAATAGGCTCAATTCAGGCCGCCGCCGGATTCTACACCTATTTTTGGATTATGGCCGAAAATGGATTTTTACCGTGGGATTTGTACAATTTGAGATCGCAATGGGATTCGAGATCCTATAATAGTGTGGTGGATTCGTATGGACAAGAATGGGTAGGCTTTTGGGCTTTTTAGTGCGAAAAAAGGGCTTTTTGGATAATTTCAGGCCTTGAGGGCTTTTTAGACTGAAAAATTGTGATTTTTGACGAAATTTGAGCCCTGGAAGTGATTTTTCACAGTAATTATAAGGTTCAGAGGGTTTTCAGGCCCTGAAAAGGCTTTTTAGTCTAGAAAATCAGGCTTTTCGCTATATTTAGAGCTCTGGGAATGATTTTAGAGTAATTTTAAGAGTTTTAGACTAGGATTGCTCATTTTAAGCAAAATTTTCGATTTCAGCGTGAAATTTTGACAATAAAGCTCTCTAAGAGATCTCAAAAGCCCTCTAATGAAAAATAACTTTAAAATCATATCCCAGTGTCCAAAATTTACCGAAAATCCGAATTTTACGTTCTAGAAAGCCCTGTAAAACCTCGTGGAGCCAAAAATTCAGCCTAAAAGCCCTCTAAGCGATCTCAAAAGCCCTCTAACGTAAAATTACCTTAAAATCATATCCCAGGGCTTAAACTTCACTAAAAATCCAAGTTTTCTGGTCCAGAAGGCCCCTAAAGTAAAAATTTAGCCTAAAAGCGAAAATTTTATTCAAATTCCCTTTAAATTCTTTAATTTTCACGTAGAACACCTTAAAATGCTCCAAATTTCTTCCCAAATCCAAAATTTTGCAGAGCTACACGGACCGAAAAGTGCTTGAGCACACTTGCCAAACCGCCTACTTCGTCTCCATCGTCGTTGTCCAATGGGCCGATTTGATCATCTCAAAAACCCGCCGAAATTCCCTGATCCAACAAGGAATGTCAAACTGGACCATGAATTTCGGCCTGGTTTTCGAGACGGCCTTGGCCTGGTTCATCTGCTATTGTCCGGGAATGGATCAGGCTTTGAGAATGTATGGTCTAAGATTCTCGTGGTGGTTCTGCGCGGTGCCATTCGCTTTTGTGATTTTCATTTTTGATGAGACGAGAAGGTTCCTGATCAGGAAATATCCTGGAGGCTGGGTTGAGCGCGAGACCTATTATTAATTAATTAATTAGCCTAATTAACTAATTAATTATCTAATTGTGTGCCTTTGTACTAGCTTTAATGAAAATAAATCCTGATTTTCAGATTTTGAGCAAAAAATTACAGATTTTCAGCAGAAATTTCGAAATTTTTTACAAGAACAAGAGTATTTATTAAAGAAAAAAAGCATCAAAATCTACAAAACAAAAGACACAAACAAATCTAGGCACAAAAAAGAATAGGACACAAAAAAAAGGCGGGGGAAAAATAAAACAAAAAATAAATAATCAATAAAAAATTGAGGATGTGTGGGGATGTCGGGAATCTGGAAAAAATGAGTTATGACGTGGCAATTTGGAATTTTGTTGAAATTTTTGATTTTTAGAGAAAAGCCTAGTTTTTAGGATCAAAATTGTCCAGAATTCATGATTGCTGGCTCAAAATCGGTCTTTTTTTTTCAATTTTCAAGCTCTTGTGCTCTAAATTGTCCAAATTTCATGATTTCTGGCTTAAAATTCGCCATTTCTACAGAATTTCACTATTTTGGAGTTCATAGGCTTCAAATTTACGATTTCTGGCTCAAAATCGATCATTTTTATAGAATTCCCTAAATTTTCAAGCTTCTAGGCTCAAAAACCCAAATTATCATGATTTCTAGCTTAAAATCGTTAATTTTCGCAATTTTCAAGCTACTAGGCTCAAAATTGTCCAATTTTCATGATTTCTGGCTTAAAATTTTCCATTTCTACAGAATTTCACAATTTTTAAGCTCCTAGGCCAGTTCTCTTGATTTCTAGCTCATTGTCCAATTTTCATGATTTTAAACTCAAATCCGCCCAAACAACTCACCAGACAAATCCAAAATTCTTGGCCTTGATCGCCATCAACAATTTCGACTTCAAAATGCGTTTCGTCGAATAAACCGGCACATACAATCTCGAAATACACGTATTGGCAGTTGGTAGGAGCATATCCTCTTGCGGTCTCAACATAACACTCGCATTCGTCTGCCATTCACCGGGCAAACTTGCCGAACCGGTCCAGAAGAAAATCAAATCCTGCTTCTCTTCTCGGCTGAGACTTTCGACAACTTGCCAGAAGCTTTGCTTGAATTTCGCCAAAATCTCCGAATTCGCACGCGATTCGTCCAAAAACACCGTGTTCGCCTGCAAAGTCTCGATGCAGATCTGCTCAGTTCCACACAAAATCAATTTGAGATCTTCGGGATTCAAACCAGCCAACATGGATTCAGGAATAACATCGAGAATTCCTTCGCGAATAGCTTCCAAGGCTCCCAAATTGTGTCCCAATAAAATACGATCCACATATCTGTAGATGTATTCGGTGACGTTTTCTTTGGTGACGGCAATGTTTCGACCATCCGGTTTGAGATCGATTGTTTCGATGATTTGGGAAGAATCCTGAAATTAAATTAAGGTTGAAAAATAGAAGAAAAATGATGTCTAGGGGTTGCTGCTAGCCAGATAGAGCCTCTAGGCGCTGTCCCTTGACAGGTGCCTTGTCAAGGGATAGCGCTTTGGGAGATATTTTCGGTGTCTAGGCGGCGGTTTTTTGCAAGGCACCGAGCCTAGACAGGCCTAAAACTGAATTCAGGCCTCAAAACTTAAAATCGGGCTCATTTTGGATCATTTTCGACGCAGAAAAACCTGAATTCAATTTCAGGCTTCGAAAAATCCTAGTTAGCCTAAATTTGGGCCATTTTCATGCAGAAAAGCCTGCAATCAGTTTCAGGCTTTGAAAAATCGTACTTAGGCTTGTTTTTGACCAAAATTCTTGAAATTAGGCTTATTTTGGTTCATTTTTCACGTATAAAGGCCATGAAAATCTCCAATTTGATTTCAGGCTTTCAAAAATCCTAGTTAGCCTAAATTTGGACCATTTTCTACGTAGAAAAGCCTGAAATCAGTTTCAGGCTTCAAAAATCGAATTTTGGACCATTTTCAACGCAGAAAATCCCAAATTCAATTCCAGACTTCAAAAATCGTGCTTAGGTTCATTTTTCACGTAGAAAAGCCTAGTTTTCGTGCCCAAAAAAGCCCAAATCCTCACCTTGCTCATCAAATCAACCGAAAACGTGGCACACGCAAAAGTCTCCTCCTCCTCCTGATTTCCACACATCAAACATCTCAACGAGTTGAAAACTTCCGGATCAAAGAATCCAAAATCGAGCCAAGTGATTGGTTGTCGTAGGATATAGGCAAAAACATGGCGTGCAAATCGAAGTGGGAAAATATCACCCTGGCTTATACAGATGCCCATAACCCGTCCGATGTTTCGATAGGCCGAGAGGCGAACAAGGCTTCTATTTGGGCCCTGGGCCGCTGGGACATAGGTATAACCATTAGGCGATTTGACGAAAAGTGGACCTTGTTCGGGGCCATGAATCTCGGCCCAAATAGCATCCAATCCCTCGCTACTCATATTTGGTTCGGGCTCATAATCGGGGTCAAAATTGAAGTCTGCGTCAGCGCGGAGCTCCACAAGAATCTGTTGAATATGACATCTCAACGAATCCTGATTTTCGGCGCAATTTCGCAAATATTCGGGTGGAAGTTGGCACAAAATTGTGCAAATTCGCTGAGCCAACATCGCGTTGGATCCCCCGTTTTTCACATATTTTTGAGCTTCTTCTTGAACCGTTTGGATCATTTCCTCAGCATTTTCGACGCCCATTTTCTTCAGACTTTCCACCAATTTTTCGTTGGTGAATTTTAGAGCAGTTAGGTTCGGCGAGAAGGTTCGAAGTTTATCCATGGCATTTCGGAGACGTTGAGCTTTTTCTCTTCGGTATCTTCGAGCTTTTAGTTGGAATTGTTGGACTGTAAATAGAGATTTCAAACATTTTTGTGATTTTTTTGAGGCTAGGCTGAAAATTGCTGACTTTTTGAGCCCAAATTTGACTAGGCCTGAAATTCTGGAACGTTTGAGCCTAAAAAAGCCTAGGCTGAAAATTGCAGATTTTCAGCTAAAAAATCCAGAATTTTGTTCAATTTCAAGTATTTTTCTGGAAATTCTCTGAAAATCCCAAAATTTTCAGTCAAAAAAGTTTCACAGCTAAAAATTTGCGCTGATAATCATGCAAAACTTGAAAATAGCGATTTACATGATTTTCAGAGCAAAATTCTGAGCTGGAATCATTTTTCTTCAATTTTTCAAGGGGAAAAACCCTCTTTTTTTTTCGATTTTTCAAGCCTACTCACGAGTTAGACACGAATTCAATTGCCAATTCAACGAGCTCGTTATCTCATCCAGATCATCTCTGCGAATATCATTAAACGGTGATTGTGCCAGTGTCATACAAGCCTCCGCCAACGCCGTATAATAACTTCGCGTAACTCCAGTTCCCTCACCGGGTTCATCAATGAATCTGACGCGAAGGCGAGTTCCAGCAAGTGGACACATTGGAGAATCGAGATGACGTATCGCCGACACTTTCTGATTATAAATCTGATTGAGGAAAAGCATCGTGTCAATAACTAATTGACATTGATCTCGATGAACATCTAAAGTTACTTCTTTCTGACTCGAATGACAACTTCGATATTTCTCCGCTGATTTTATGATCTGCTGATGTTTCACTCCGAATCTCGCAATTCTCTGAAGCAATCCAGATTTACTCGATTCATTTCCCAATGCTTCACAGATTCCATCATAATGTTGTTGGGCGATGGTTTCGATGCACTTTTGATAAGTCGAAAAAATTGGCAAGGCTTCGGCTTGGAGGCGAGCCCGCATTTTCGCGACGGCCCCAGTTTCTGAGCCGGATTCGGGCGCCTGTGAATGATGGGTTGGTGGGTTGGGGCGGTCGAGGATTCCTTGGTAGTGATCTTTGATTTGCGATTCGATTGATTGTTTGTGGGCTTCCGAATTGGGGAGTGCGTAGTACATTTCACAGCGATTCGAATTCTGGAAAATGGGCTTTTTGTAGGCTTAAGGCTTAAGGTCTTTCGGGCCTATAGTAGATAAGGGTTAAGCCTAAATTTGGCCCGTTTTAAGGCCCGTTTCAGGCTCATTTCCACCCCAAAAAACCAACTAACCTTCAAAAACTTTCTCTTCGACATTTTCAAAAATTCAAATTCTTGTGGTCTGAAGTAGGCAGAGTGATCAGCATCGATTGAAAGCATATCGGGTCTTTCGACAAGTGGAATCTGGAAAAATGATAGAGTAAGGCTAAGTTGCGAGCTTAGAGAGGGCCCTATTAGGCTTGAAAAAGGGGATTTTTCAAGCCCAGGCTTATCTAGATTCAAAAAATCCCAAATTTTCAAAACTAGACTTATCTAGGCTCAAAAAACCCGCAAATTTCCATCCCAAGCCCAAAGAACAACCCACATCCTGCTCAATTCTCAACATTCTCATATTTTCTCTTCCCGACAACGTATTCCATGCTCCATCGAAGAAATCACCAACAAATTGCATGCTCAGAGGTCTGCGGAAGAATCCGCAAAGCAAATCGGCGTCAACGGCGGAGTGTTGTTGTTTGAAGCGAGGGCAACTAGCGTCTTCGAATTGATCGATCAGCATTTTGAGATCCTGTAATTTGGGAATTTTTGGTGAAAATTTGAAGATTTTCATGAATTTTTAACAGAAATTTCAAGATTTTCTAGGAAATTCACCGATTTTTAGAATTAAGAAATTGAATTTCAGAATTTTAGCTGAAAATTTAGATTTTTTCAAAGTTTGATGAATTTTCTGAAAATTTCAGCAAATTTTAGAATTTTAAACGGAAATTTCCAGAATTTTCAGCTAAAACTTTCAGAAAATCCCAAATTTTCAGGTCTGACCTAACTTTTGAGCCCAAAAGCATCTAGACCCTAGATTTTTTAAAGGAAAATTTGAAAAAAACCGCATTTTACCTCGAAAATTTTTGTCTAAAAAAATACGTTTCAAAAATTTCATATCGTTTTTTTCAAAAAGAAAAAAAATCAATGGATTGACTTTACGGTTATGAAAAATTTGTTGATTTTTGAAATTAAGAAGGATCCAGATTCGCCTGAAATTAAATTTCAGGATTTTCACCCAAAAATTTCAGAAAATTAGGATTTTTTTTAATTTTGATGAACTAGGGGCGGTGCCCCTAGGCGAAACAGTTATACAAATCCTCAAAAATTCCAAATTTCAAAGAAAAATCATTTTTTTTCGCATTTTCAAAATGATCATTAAAGAAATAAACAGGTTTTCACGTAGGCATTCGTGGTCAAGTGGTACGTGACTCTGTCTTGTGATCAGAGCATTTTTGACGGGTTCGATTCCCGGTCGAAGCATTTTCCTATATCCGCTAGGTATGATTTTTAAAATTTCTGAAGAAATGTGAAAAAAATGGTGAAAAAATGTGCGAAAAAAATTATAATCAATGTATACCAACGGGATTTTATAAAGAGGTTAATTTCTCAAAATTTTATAATTTTAAACGGAAATTTCCAGAATTTTCAGATAAAACTTTCGGAAAATCCCCAAATTTTCAGGTCTGGCCCAAATTTTGAGCTCAAAAACCAGGCTTGTGAGATCTCAAAAAACGTTGATTTTCCAGGTCCAGGCTTATCTAGACTCAAAAAACGTGGATTTTCCAGGTCTAGGCTTATCTAGATTCAAAAAATCCCAAATTTTGAGGTCTGGCCTAAATTTTGGGCTCAAAAATCCCCCAAGGCTTGTGGGGACTCAAAAAACCCCAAAAATTCCACTCACAATTCTCTTCTGCTTTCCACACTCCTCCACAACCAAATACGCATCCAAAACCAGCCCAACCGCTTCCAAAATCTCCAAATCCACCTCAGCCAATCGATCCCTGGCATCATTGCCACAACCTCTCATAAGACCAAAAATATATCCAAACGCATCGCGTCGTCCATCAGCAGAAGCTTGTGAAGTTCCGGTATCTCCAGCTGCTCCCTGAGCTCCCAAATGCTCCAAAAACTGCGCATTAAACCTGAGTTTTGCCTCCGTTGAATCCAACACCATAAACATCCAATCAAACGTCTCTTTGGTCGATCTTCTCAATGATTCCTGGATATTTTTGAACAATTTCAGTGTCATCTCGTGCGAGTTATCGTAAATCTTCTTCGTCTTTTGATGTGTTTTCGCAATTATATCACAAGCCAGGCGAGTTAGAAGCGAAAATGTCATCGCTAGATGTTTTCGAGTTATCGAAAGTTGAGCTTTTGGTTCTTCGGGCTCTTTTTTTGCGGCTGGAGCTGAAGTAGAAGATGTTGGTCCTGATGTTGAAGGTTCAGTGGATGTTGTTGAAGTTGATGTTGATGTTCCATTTGATGGTGCTTGTGCAGCTGATGTTGAAGATCCTGAAGAATTTGAAATTCGAATTTTAGGGGCCTAGAAATGGCCTATAAGGCCTGGTTTTGGGCTTTTAAATGAGCCTAAATATGGCCTAGATTTGAGATAAGCAAGCATAAAACTAGGCCATATTTAGGCTCGTTCAAAAGCCCTAAACTAGGCCATTTTCAGGCTCATTTTATAGCCTATTTTCAGGCCATATTTAGACTCATTTGAAAGCCCGAAACTAGTCCATATTTAGGCTCGTTTGAAAGCCCTACACTAGGACATTTTAAGGCCATATTTAGGCTTAAAATGATCAGATTTCTCACCACTATTCGTTTCTCCATATCTCGGCGAACTTCCAAATCTATACTGCAAATATCTTCCAGCTGAAGTCGTACTCGCTCTCGATGACCAACTTCCACCTCTAAATGTATAAGTCGTTGTGTTGTCCGATGAGTTCGTCGAACTTCCACCGCCCAATCCGAATCTCGACGCAATTTGATGTTGTCGACTCAGAAAATCGTCCTCGTCTTGTCCGACCGGATTTGCGCGCGGATCCGCTTGCGGAACTGTCGAATTTATTGGAATTTGAACCGGAATCGGTGGTCCGCCTGATGTTGGTGGCGGAATTCGGAACGCTGGTTGCGAACTCGAATTATCGTCTTGCGGTGCATCGTTGGATCTGGAATGTCAGATTTTTGCGGCTGAAAATCATTCTAGGCTGAAAATTATAAATTTTCAAGCTCCAGGGCTTAATTTTCATCAAAATTCATGATTTCTAGGCAAAAACAAGCTCCAGAGCTCAATTTTCATAAAAAAAATCCTAAATTTCTCATTTTCAATTTCAGAATGAAATTCATGATTTCCAGTGTATTTTCGGTTAAAAATGTGCATTTTTCAAGCTCCAGAGCTCAAAATTCATGATTTCAAGAGTACTTTAGGTCAAAAAAATGCTCCAGGGCTCAAAATTCATGGTTTCTAGGCTACTTTTGGCCCAAAAAATCAATTTCCCTCCCCAAAACCCCCTCATACCTTCTCTCCTCATCATCTCCTTCTCCATCCGACGGACTACTCGCTTCATATTGCCACTCTGCCGGTCTGACTCTTCCCCTCTCAGTCTCTTCCCCCTCTTCTTCTTCATCATCATCATCATCGTCGTCTTCCTCATCCTCTTCATCTTCATCATTGATAAATCTAACCGTCTCGTCTCTCTGCGTCTCTCCACCTCGGACCGTCTCTTCTTCTTCATCATCATCTTCTTCTTCATCCTCTTCTTCTTCATTTTCCTCCTCCTCCTCTTCCATCTCTGCGTCTCTAACTATCTCGTCGTCTGGTTCTCGTTGAATTTCTTGTGGATTTTCTTCGGGTATTGATACATTTCTAGTTCGAGTTCGTCGAACTCCTCGATTTCCCGTCGAATTTCGACTTAGCCCATCTTGCGATTCTTCGTCTTGATCATTTGATGAATCGCGTCTTTCGGATTCGGTTCGATCTCGATCATTTTGATCACGGCGACTGTTCTGAAATTTGCAAGATTTTTGCTGAAAATCCAGTTTTTGGCTTGAAACTAGACTACATTTAACCTCTAAATGTTCAGAATTTCATTTGGAGCATTTTGAGCCCAATCTAGACTATATTTAGGTTCAAAATGCTCCAAATTTGCTCGGGAATATCAAAAATTTAGATTCCTCTTGAAATTCTGAATATTTATAGTCCAAACTTTTTTTCAAGTTCTAACAGCTAAAAATCCCAATTTTTAGTGTCCAAAAGGTCCGGGGATCAATCCCCAGTGCCTGTTAACATTTCTGGGGTGAAAAATCGCGCCAGAATCGATTTTCCGGGTGAAAACCCCCCAAAAACACTCACCCTTCTAACTCTCTTCTCCTGCTTCATCTCCTCCCGTCTCGCCTTCTTCAAAACCTCTTCAAACGTCACATCACTACTAAAATACTTCTCCATCACATCAATCGGATCCGAATTCGCGCCAACAAGAATCGGACTCTGAATCGGTCTAGCCAATCCAAATCTGACAGGCGAGAAAATCGAATCAGCCGCCTGTGCCAATTCCAAAATCGCAAAAACCGGCAAACTTCGCAAGATCGCAATTATTCTCGACACAAAACTAATCATCTGACTCGATTTATCCTTCTGCTGATCTTTTTTGCTCGAAACCGGTATAATTCCCATCGCATTTAATGAAATAAGATTGGAGAATCGAATAGTTTCCCGTGCAAAACTGGAAGATGAGCCAGAATTCGCAGAGCTGCTCGTTGTATGCTCAATTTCTTCTCCACTCATTATAATGCTTGCCGCAATTGGTGAGACATTGATGGCGAGGACGAGAACTCGAATTATACTTCGAACAAAGCGCGCAGTGTATTTTTCGACGTGTGGATCGCGGTTTTCTTTTCCGGATGAGAGTTCCGCGCGGAGAGTGTTGATAATGGCCACGGTGTACTGAAAATCAATTTTTTTTTCTTGAAATTTATGTGTCAGGAGCATCTGGAGCTCGAAGTCGAAAAATCATGATTTTCAGCTCAAAAAATGGTCCCGAGTCAAAAAATCATGACTTTTAGCTTAGAAAATGGTCCCGAGTCGAAAAATCATGATTTTCAGCTCAAAAAATGACCCCAGGTCAGAAAATCATGATCATTAGCTGAAAATGCTTCAATTTCGGCTAATTTTTAAGCTAGAAACGTTCAAGACTAATTCCAGGTCAATTTTCATGATTTTTAGCTCAAAATGCTCCAAATTTTGCCTCAAAATGCTCACCTCCTTCACTCGCTTATTCATCAATGTAAAAGTGAGCCGATCCAAATGCACCGCACTACTTTGCGTGTTGAATAACACATCATTTCGGCTCATCGGCACTTCCCAATCCAACTCAATTGCTCCCAAATTTATGGCACTTTTGACAACTTCCGGCTTTTTGCAACATTGATCCAAGGCGAATTTGGCGAATTTTGGAGCACTCAAATCGTGCTCCGGTGGAGTTAGACCTTCCAAATCTTGACGATTTGCGCGGGAGCTCTTTTTCTTGGCCTGAAATTTGGAATTTGGGTGAAAATTTGGAATTTTTTGATGTGAGTCGAGAGCTCATTTTTCATCAAAATTCATGATTTCTAGTGTATTTTTGGCCCAAACCATGCTCCAGAGCTCAATTTCCATCAAAAATTCAGAAATTCAACTTCTTTTCAACTCCAGAAGCTTCCGGGGTTAAATTCATGATTTCTAGGTCAAAAATGTGCATTTTTCAAGCTCCAGAGCTCATTTTTGGGCTCAAAATCACCCACCTGAAACCCATTCTGCTCTCGATATTGTCGAATAACAGTTCTCGCCAAAAACAACATCAAATGTTCTCCTCTCGAATTCGCCAATTCATACAATTCCGTGTGCTTCAACAATTGCACAAACAAATATTCTCTCATTTTTTCATTACCACTAATCAATGATTTACATCCACATTTCTGCCAACAATCACAATAAGCTGTCGGACACGACTTCTTGATCTTACAATCATGATTGCGATGGCAACTAATCGCACATTCCGAACAACAACAAAACGATCCAGTAATTCCACAAGTTCGACATTCGTATATGTCTTGATTTATGTGTTCGGCTCCAGTCCAGGTGAATGAGCAAACATCATTGTAGCATAGGACAAAGAGTGGCGAATCATCAGGTGGTGATTGATATGAGACAGCGAGCGAGAAGATTGTGGCTGGATCATCGTTGACTGGCGGGTAGATGTATTGCATTTGCTCGTAGTTGTTCTGCAAAACTCAGATTTTGAAAGGATTTACAAGGGAACCTTTTTTACTCAACACTTCAAATCATGATGAAATTTTTACAGTACATTGATATACGGATAAAAATGAGTCTCTCAAATTTTTAGTCTCCCAATGGACCTGTGAGAAAAGTTTGACGCAATCTAAAATTGGGTCACGCAAATGCATTTTTCGGCAAGAAAAAAAAGCGAAATACTGGAGAGAAATAAACACCATTAAAAATGTGAAGCGCCTAGCACAGTGGTAGTGTGCTGGTCTTTGGGGTAACGCTATGCGGGTTCGATATTTTTTGCAACATTTTTTTTGTTTTTTTTTGGATTACTGTAGATTTTTGAAAAAAAGCTTGAATTCATGCAATAAATGTAAAAAAAAGTATATAGATGGAGAAAAAACAAGAGAAATCAAATACAGTAATGAAAATCTAGAACAAAATGTTCAAAACAGAAGAAGTTATCACAGTTTATACACTTGATGAAAAAAACGTTCTTGCAATTTGGATGATGACAATCGCCAAACTCGGAAGAAGGAAAACAATGTTGATACGGAGTCAAATAAGGAGCTGGATGAACTGTTTCATATTTGCCTGCGTACCATGCATACTTGAAAAACTCGTCAAGTTTTGATGAAGTCAGCTGGGAGTGCACGAGGGAAATGATCTGGAATAATTTTTTCGAACTTTCAGTAAAGCCGTAAAATTACCTTCAGAACATTATCTCGCTGATGGGGTTTGAACTCTGGATGTTCTCGTTGCGCGAAAGCTTGGAACTCTTTGACGAGTTTTTTGTAGTGATAAAAAACACCAACATCCAAGGGTTGAATCATTCCCGTGCATCCAGGTGGTATCAGCATCATTTCATATGATTTATTCGCTGGTTTTACCGAATCTATAGCAGATGAATCTTTCCAACATGGCCAAGCATCACCAATTAAAAGAAGCTTATCAGGCATGGTGCTTGAAAAAACTACTTCATTGAAAAATTGGATCATGTGTTGTTTCGTCATGATATGCGATTTTCCTGCTCTAACAACCAAATTCGGTGCCATGAAATGACCTTTTGCAGGAAATACACCTTTTGATTCTTGTAAAACAACAAACACCGTTTTATGAAGTTTTCCAGCAGCTGATACCAACGGTAGGATTGTATAAGAATGTGTAGTGGCGCTAGTTGAATTAGCGCAACCAAACACTTTCTTGCAACCCTTTTGAGCCAATGTTCTCTTGGTGAACATCTCATACTGGAATCCAGACTGGTCCATGTTAAAAACATCAGATTTCGAATAGGATGCCATTTTGATAATTGCAGAGGCGACAAAATCGTCGGATTTCTTTTGAATCTCGTCTTGATTGACCAAATTTCTTCTCGCAACGAATTTTGTTATTCTTCGCGATCTTATTCCATGACCCCTTTTCCATGCAAGAATCCATGAATCAGAAAATTTAAAATCAAAATTGAGCCCATTCTCTTTTTGAATTTTCAATGCCATGATTCGGAGATCTCTGTCGTGTAGAATGTTGCATTTTTTCAACTCTTCTTTCACACGAATTGATAATTCTTTGGAAATGAAAATCATAGCGTTCCGTCGATCGACTCCAACTTTTCCTATTATTTTAAAATTATTTTTTGTTTTTTTCATCATGAAAAATTACCTTCTCTTTCATACACTCGTAGTTGGGCGAGGTGACTTTCTTTCTTGATGAAGGGGAATCGATGATTCATTGTTCCAAGACTTCTTCTCTTTTTTCCACCATTGCTTGATTTTCCGGTGGTGGACGACCAAAAATCAACAGCTTCTTGTACTCTTTCAGGTTCAATTAATTGATCACCGAATCGCACTAGTTTTGCTTTTCCACCATCAGATGCCTCTTGATCTTCCATGTTGGGATCGTAATCTTGAAAAAAACTTATAATTTTTTCCACAAAAAAAAAATATCACCTGGATCACTCGGATCGTCACAAAATTCGAGAACATCTTCATGATCCACATCAATTTCTGAATAATCGGTTGACTTCAGCAAGAATACGATCTCTTCGGCCACTTTTTGGTGTTGACGTTCAAGATTCACGACATGAGAAGTTCCAAGAATAGCATTACATACAAAATGAGTAATAGAAATCGATGGTAAAATCATCAAAATTGCAAGAATTTGTTTACAAATGAGTTTTTCACAGATGATGACATTTTTCCACGTTTCACGTTGAAAAAATCCAGAAATTTTACCGCCGGGAGTCAAAAATACCACTTTTTTCAAAAATCTACAGTAATCCAAAAAAAAACAAAAAAAATGTTGCAAAAAATATCGAACCGGCATAGCGTTACCCCAAAGACCAGCACACTACCACTGTGCTAGGCGCTTCACATTTTTAATGGTGTTTATTTCTCTCCAGTATTTCGCTTTTTTTTCTTGCCGAAAAATGCATTTGCGTGACCCAATTTTAGATTGCGTCAAACTTTTCTCACAGGTCCATTGGGAGACTAAAAATTTGAGAGACTCATTTTTATCCGTATATCAATGTACTGTAAAAATTTCATCATGATTTGAAGTGTTGAGTAAAAAAGGTTCCCTTGTTAGCCTAACTACATTTTTTTGGCCTGAAATTCTTGAGATCCCTAAATTTGACAAACTCGGAATCTAGGCCTATTCAGGCTCAAAATGTACAATTTTCGGGCTTTTCAAGACCTGTAATCCAGGCTTATCTAGGCTGAAATAATTACAAATTTCAGGCCTCAAATCTAGGCTTTTACTGGATTTTCAGCCTAAAATGAGCAATTCCTACCAAAAATTAGAAATTTTCTGGTATTTTCGCTTAACATGAGCAAAATATATACAAATCTCGATGTTAAGTCATTTTTCATCATTTCAGGTCAAAAAATCAGATTTTTCAGCGTAAAAAATTTCCAAATCAATTCTAGCTCATTTTCTACCAAAAATCCCAAATTTCGGCTCATTTTCACCCGCAACCAACCATATCAGCGAATCCCAATTGCAACAAACACTGCCAAACCGATCCAGCAGCTCCGTATGCTCTCAAATTCACGGCCAACATGAAAGGAGTTCGTCCATTGATATCACGTGCTGATAGAAGGGCTTTCAAAGCTGAGCAACGATCTTTTTCGTCCAAAAATTCTGGAAAATGGGGGAATTTTTTGAGCCTAAATTCAGGCCTTTTTTGAGCCTTTAAATTAAATTTTTTTTATTTAGGTCTTTCCAGGTCATTTTTCACCGAAAATCCCAAATTTCCGCCCAAAAATCTACTCACCAACACCATTTTCCGCTTCAATATCAAAAAACATAGTCAAATGTTTGAGTAGCAAATCCAAGATTCCCATCGCATTTTTCTGTCTTATTTCCGGTGTCTTGATTGGATTTCCCATCGAGAAATCCTCAACTACAGTACCCGACTGCAAAACTTCGATATTCTCCTCAATTTCTTGACCATCTTCAACTTCTTGACTCCGTCTTCTTCCTCTCAACACACCTTTCCATCGTTTTTCATTTTCCACATTTTTTGCGGCGAATTTTGGCGGCGTGCTTTTTAGGGTTTCCGGTGTGATTTTATCCTGGTTTTGCGAATTCCGCGCGGCGACGCACAAGCGGATTGCGGCATGAATGATATTTGAGCAACCGTCTGATGTGATGGCGAATAGTTGTTCGGACATGATTTGACGGAACTCGTCTTGGCTGAGGATTGAGGATTCTGCAAAATTTGGGGATTTTTTAGAGTCTAGATAAGGCAAGGTTTGAGTACTGTAAGCCTAAGAATACAGTAGATTTCAGGCTGATTTTTTTGAGCCTAAATGAGGCTAGGCTGGAAAATTTCGGGATTTTTTGAATCTAGGCCTAAATTTTCAGATTTTTAAAGCCTAAACGAGCTTAGGTTAAACATTTGGAGATTTTTCAGGCCTAAATAACCCTAGGCTCAAAGTTTCAGATGTTTTGAGTCTAGATAATCCTAGACTAGAAATTTTCCGATTTTCAGAGTCTAGACAAGGAAATTTGGAATTTTTTAAGCTTAAACGATTTTTTAAATCTAGACTGAAAATTTCAAAATTTTTGGAGTCCAGAAAAGCCTGGGGTAGAACATTCCAGATTTTTCAAGCCTAGATGAGTTTGGGCTTAAAATTTCCTGATTTTTAGAGTCCAAATAAGCCTTAGGCTAGATTTTTCGAATCTAGGCTCGAAAATTTTGAATTTTCTGAATCTAGATGAGTTAGGGCTTAAAATTTTCAGATTTTTTGAGTCTAGATAAGCCTGGGCTTAAGATTCCAGATATTTCAAGCCTAGATGAGCTTGGGCTCAAAATTTCCTGATTTTTAGAGTCCAAATAAGCCTAGGCTTAAAATTTTCAGATTTTTTGAGTCTAGGCTGAAAATTCAAGATTTTTTGAGTCTAGGCTAGAAATTTAATTGAAAATTGTTTTCTTGAAAATATTTTTTGACATTTCGAAATAAATTTTAGCTCGGGGTTTCATGAAAAAATCCAGATTTTCAGATTCCAGAAAGCCTAGACTGAAATTTTCAGATTTTTTGAATTCTAGATGAATTTCAGGTCAAAATCCACCATTTTTCACCCAAAAATGCCCAAAAAAACCCACGTCTCAAATCATTAATCTTATTCAAAAAAGCCTGAACACCATGCAAATCACAATACAAAACGAGTTGCATCAAAGAAGCGAAATCCTTCAAAAAATGTCGATGATTCGGTCGATTTGTTCCCGGAATGCAAAGAACCGATCCTTCCCAAGCAGTGGCGCCTTTCTGGAAGAAAAATTGGGATTTCGGGTCAATTTTGAGCATTTTCCATATTTTCAACCTCAAAATTCATCATTTTTCACAATTTTCAGCTCAGAAACCCCCAAATTACCTCACAAATCGATCCATTTCTTCTTTTCGGTCTCGAATACGTCGATATCAAATTAATCGGCTGTGAGTGTAGAATCTGCGGTTCTCGATATCCATTCAAAGCATCTCGTAAAAGTGGAATCAATTGTCCAGCAGAATCTCGAATGAATAGGGTTCGCGACTGCAAAAAATCGATAAGATAATTTCAAACATGAGCAATGTTTAAAGTATTGCTCATATTGAAAATTCCAACGAAAATTGATTATTTTCAAGCTTCCAGGCTCAATTTTGCATCAATATTTGGGCTGGATTTTCTAACATGAGCAATGCTTCTAAAAATTGCATTTTTGAGTTGAAAATGCTCCAAATCTACAAATTTTCAAAGTTCCTGGTTTAAAATCCACCAATTTTCAAAATTTTTAAGCTCAAAGTGCTCCAAATCTCTTCTAGAACGTATTTTGGCCTATATTTAGCTCAAAATAACAATTTTCAAAGCTCTAAGCTCAACTTTTGCTGATTCTCAAAGTTCCTCGCTGGAAATTGAGCAATTTTCATGATTTTAAGCTCAAAATGCTCCAAAACTCCTCTAGAACGTATTTTGGCCTATTTTCGGCCTAAAGTTACAGTTTTCAAGCTTCCAAGCCTAATTTTGGCAAATTTTCAAGCTCCGGGCTCAAAATCGGCCATTTTTCACAATTTTTGGCTTAAAAATTCCCCAAACTCCTCCCAGCCCTCCCTAAAAAACACTCACATCTCCAAAATTCACCAACTCTGGGCATTTTCCCTCCGCTCCTCTCAAAATACGTTTCTCCACAGCCAACGCGTTCAACGGCAATCTGCTTCTCATCACAACCTTTCCAGTGACCGGAACTTTACAAAGAAGGATTTGATCGTGTCGCGATCTGACCAAAATTCGAAATCCCGTGAGATCCGCACACATTGAAATGATCGGCTTGCTCATATCAATCATAAAGCTCAACACCTCTTTTTGCACCAATTTCGCCAATTTTTCTCCATTTTTTGCCGGGTTTTTGAGCACTTGGAGTTCATCTTTTCTCAAAATTCTCATTCCCTGATTTGTTTGCTGATTCGAACTTCTCGAATTGCCTTCCGGATTATCGCTGATCAAACTCGCATATTTCATACAATTTCTTGATGTTTCATTGAATTTCACAGCTACCATTTGATTGTCGACAACTTCGACAGTCATAACATCACGTTTTCGATGTTCGTGAATCCACAAAACTTCGTCGATCGGCCAAATTTCGATTTTTTGCACTGGATCATCGTGGAATGGATCGGATAAGGCTTCGGCGGCTTTTCGTTTGCGAGATTGATTTGGCTGCTGCAAAAATATTGGATTTTTGGGAGTTTCTAGGTGAAAACTAGACTTTTTGGATGAATTTTCTAGTCTGAAATTCTGGGAGTTGGAAAAATCGAATTTCGCCTCAAATTCGGCTCTAAAAATCAGTTTCCGGTTAGAATAACCAAGTTCCGGTTTAAAAAATCCTGAAATTCGGCTCAAATCTCAAATTTCGGTTAGAAAAATCGAGTTCCGGCTGAAAATTTCGAATTTACACTCAAAAATAAAATCCCCCTTTTTTCTATCTCAAGACCAATTTTCAGTCAAAAATCTAAATTTTCAGCTGGAAAATCGAGTTTGGGCTTGTTTTTCTCGGAAAATCTCAAGATTTTGATTAGAAAGACGTTTCCAATCTTTTTTTCTCGTGAAAAAGTTAGAAAATTTGAAAATTTAGCCACAAATCTCCAAATTTAGTTAGAACATCGATTTTCAGCCAGAAATCTAGAATTTCAGCACAGAAAATTGCTCCTGGGCTCATTTTCATCCAAAAATCTCAAAATCGGGCTCAAAATGCTCCAAATTCATCTAGAAAATCGGCACCAAGGCTCATTTTCAGTAAAAACCCTCACCTGAACATATTGCTCCTCCTCCTCTTCCAAAATCTCCATCTTCACACTTTCTCCATCATATTCTTCCACCGACAATATTCTGAATCGACAATTTTCTCCAAAATTCCACGAATCTTCGAGCAACACTCCAATCATTGGTTTTTCAGTGTCAATGAAGACACCAACACTTCCGGCCGGGAAAATTGGCGATTTTTTGAGTTGTACTTGACTTCCGACGTGGATTTCTGAACTTCCAGATGCCGAATTTGATGCTGAATTCATTCCAGAACTTGCTGAATTCGAAGTTGTTGACGAAATTGACGTTTCACCAAAGGAAACGTGTTTTTTGCGATCTTTTTCCGATTTTTCCGCTGCTTTTTCGGTGGATTTTGAGCGATCTGATGGAGGGTAGATTCCGCTGGAAAAAAAGGAGATTTTCAAAAGAAAAAAAGTTTAACATGAGTAATACTATATTTTCTCAGAAAAATCTGAGCAATGCACTTTTAGGGGTCATTTTTGCTCACAAATTCGAAATTAATGGTCCTGGAGCGAAATTTGATGATATGTCGGGTGTTAGAGCGAAAAAACACGATTTTCGTGGTCCTGGAGAAAAATTCGATGATTTTCAGAGTCTTGGAAGGGAATTCGATGCTTTTCAAGGTTCAAACGTCCAGGACTTGAAAAACCAAGATTTGTAGCTTCAGAACCACTAAAATCGATATTTTTCACTCCAAAACCTAGAAAATCACCAAATTTCGCTTCAGGACCCGAAAATCGTTAATTTTTCGCTCCAGGACTCAAAAAAATTGCTTCAGAACTCAAATTAGCTCATTTTTCTTCCAGAAATCATTCTTTTTCACCAATTTTCCCCGAAAATGACTCGAAAACCCCGCAACTTACCACCAATAAACCACATTTTCACATCGAACTGCCGCAATATAATCACTAGTCGTGAAATCCTTCAACAATCCAACTTGTTCCACCGGAATCTGTCCGTAGCTTTCAGTCGCCTTCTGAACTCGTCTTCCCACTGCCAATGTTTCGAGCCACGAAATCATGGCTCCATTTTGCAAAATAGCGCAAATTCTCAAATTCGATGAAGTTATCATAACTACAGGCACATTTTCAGCTGATTTTTCCTCGAAATTCGGGGGTCTGAATTCGTGCTCTGAGCCAATATCATCATCCCAATTCCACGTGTAGATTTTGCCATTTTTGTGCAACGCGTAAAGAGCCCAGGTTGTGCAAGTGATTGAGACGATTGGCGAGCTGGAAAATTTAGAATTTAGGGGAAATTTTAAAATTTTCAGGTGTTTTTTCATTAAAAAGGGTGAATTTTGAGCTAAAAACCTCTTTTCTGGCTGAATTTTAAGCCTAAAAAGCTCCATGGGTCAAAAATTGGCTCCAGAGCTCAAAATACTTGATTTTTCATTAGAAAAATTATCTGAAGCTTGAAATTTAGCTCTGGAACTCGAAAGTGAGCTCCAGCAGTCACAAAAGATGCTTCAGGGCTCTTAAATTCGATCCAGGACGATAAAATTTGGTCTAGAGCTCAAAAATGAGCTCCATAAGCATATTTTGACTTAAAATTCTTCAATTTTCATCATAAAAATTCTCTAGAGCTCTAAAACTCACCACTTTCCCTTCTGTCTCTCCATTCTCTCCTCATCCACAATCGGCTCCGTATCATCCATCATCAAAACCTCCCTCGGTTTTCCACAACCCTCTTCACCTCTCCACCATTCAACATCTGGTGAAAGCATGAAAATGCTTCGATATATTTCAGATTGCTCCTTCTTCTTCTCATTTTTGAGCTCTTTGCGTTTTGTGAGCCTGGAGAAGTTCAACGCTTCAAATGGATCATCTAATGGATGTCCACCAATGGCAGCACTCGAATGTTCTAGAAGTTGCAGAAGCTCTTCTGGAAGTATCGGATCAGCTCCACTCATATCCATCGGATCATCACCATCATCTCGACTCAGCAAATTGTTCACCGCTTCATTCACATTGAGCCCGGTTCTCTGGAGCTCTCGAATAATAATCTCCCTCGATTTGCCTTGCAAAACCTGCTGAACATTGTTGATCAGCTCTTCGGGAACCGGAATATTTTGGGCGGCTGATGGGCGGCCGATGATGACACCGCGAGCTTGGGAGCCGGTTCCGGTGCGCAGGCCACAGTAGGACCGACCGCCGAGCATCACGCGGCGGTATTTGGCGATTCCGGAAGTGCGTGCGGATTGTTGGAGAGCGGCGGCGGCGGCTTGTTGTGCGGATTGTGACATTGTGCTTGGGATTTCGGAGCATTCTGGAAGAATTTTAGAGTTTTTTTTAGGTGCTTTAGGGCTTCTGAGCTCACAGAATACCCCTGGGAAGCTTTGGGAGCGGGTCCTAGAGATCTAGACGGAGGCCTTAGACTTGAAGCCTCTTTCTAGGCCTCAAATTTAGGTCAAATTTTACCCAGAAGCTCAAAAATCATGAAAATTAGCTCTAACCCCTGCAAAATCCCAGTTTTTCACTAGAAAAACTGAAAAAGCTCAAAATTCTTCAAATTTAGCTTAGAAACCTGAAAAAAATCTCCATTTTCACTAGAAAAGCTGAAAATTAGGTCAAATTTCACCCAGAAGCCAAAAATTCATGAAAAATTAGCTCCCGGAACTTCAAAAATTCTCAATTTTTCACTAGAAAAGCTGAAAATGAGCTGAAATTTCACCAAGAAGCTCAAAAATTAGGAAAATTAGCTCCAGAGCCTGAAAAATCCCAATTTTTCACTAGAAACGCTGAAAATCGGGTCAAATTTCACCCAGAAGCTCAAAAATCATGAAAATCTAGCTTCGGAACTTGAAAAATCTCAGTTTTTCACTAGAAAAGCTGAAAATTAGCCAAAATTACATCAAGAAGCTCAAAAATCACAAAATGCAACTCCCAGAAACTGAAAATCCTGATTTTCAGCCAAAAACCTACTTTTTTCAAATTTCTCTGAAAATCCGACTATTTCGCAAGATTCACAAGCTCAAAAATAAAAAATTTTCCACGTTTTTTGCTAGCCAGCAAAAAGGTCACGTTTGAAATTTGGGAAAAATCGATAATTATTTTCACGGGATTTCAGCGATTTCTTGGGAAAAACAGTGAATTTTCAGGTTCTTGAGTTGAATTTTGTGATTTTTAAGCTTTTCTAGTGAAAAAACTGCAATTTATCAAGCTCTAAACCAAATTGCGAGATTTTTGAGCTTCTGGGTGAAATTTGACCTCATTTTCAGCGATTTCTAGTGAAAAACTGAGATTTTTCCGGTTTCTAAGCTGATTTTCATGATTTTTGAGCTTGTGGGTGTAGTTTTGGCTCATTCTCAGTTTTTCCAGTGAAAATTTAGCATTCCAAGCCTGAATTTCATGTTTTTTTGATTTCCAGAGGTTCCCCACGGGTTTTAACGTCTTTTCAATGAAAATTAAGCTTTTCTAGCTTATTTTTAAGCAAAATCTTCGATTTACAGCAATTTTCCATCATATTCACCTTGCATTACTGGAATATCTTTTACTTTGCTCGACTGATAACCCATTCGAATCACATTATCATCATCCAACAAAAAAGCGACATGTCTGGGTCCCAAAACCATCTGCTTGATTCGATCCACTCCAATTTCAGCTAAAATAGGGCAAGCCTCAATGGTCCCTTGGTTTTCCTCTCGGAATTGTTCGGCCAATTTCTCAATTATCGCCGAATCCTTCTTCTCGGACCCGACTTCTTCTTTGGCGAATAATAAATGTGTCAGATTGTCGTTTTTCGTTCGATATACTTTGGGAATCGGTGAACTTGCTGTAAATCGCTCGACACCATCGTCTTCTTCATCGACGATTTCTAGTTTTGGTTGTGCTGCTTGCGGCTCTGCGTCGTCCATCATTTTGGCGGGCTTTTTTGAAGCGGCGCGTCCCGAACGACGACTTGCTGCTGCTTTTTTCGATTTTCTCACCAGCGTTGAGATCTGAAATTCATCAATTTTCACAGGTGTCACCAGTTTCAGAACAAAATCGGCTCAAAACAACGATTTTCGAAACGAAAATTTTTTTCGCGAAATGAAAAAATTATGTGCAATTGTGCGTGGCGGTGTTGGGTCTCGCGGCGAATTGCGAAATTTTTGATGTTCCTTTGAAATAAGAAAGGATTGGAGTACTGTAGAAAATTTTTGGGGTCTGTTTTTTTTCAATTTTTGGCGGGAAAATTGGAAATTTCACGAGAAAAGCTTAAAATTCAAAAAAATGAAGCATCTTTGTCGCCTAATCTTGAATTTCGCACGCGAGAATTCAAAGCGCCAGGGCTTTTTCTTGAAATTTCAGCAAAAATCGAATTGTGCCGCCAAAAACATCAGGTTTAAAAAAATTGCTCATAAATTCATTTTTCACCGGGAAACCTCGAATTTTCACCAAAATTCCCGCCAAAACCGAAAAATCCTAATTGTAACATATAATCACAGAAAAAATACCAATAGTTAACCAAAAAGTAGCGAAAAAGGTCAGCAGATATAAATATAAATATATATTGCAAAAATTGAGAGAGCGCGAGACGCAGAGAAAAACACTCTGCACATCTAACTTTTCTCTCTATTCATTTTTCATTCAAAAGTGTTCCTTTTCTTGTTCACCCAAAAACATTGGTGAAAAATGAGAAGGGGGAGGAGATAGTGTGGGGGAATGAGAGGGTTTAGAGAGATGGGGAAATTATAGGAAAATTGAAATAATGAAGGTTTTTCATGAACGGAAAAACACAATTTGAATCCCCGCGGGTCGAATTTTCCACTCGAGACTCAAAACATGCGCCTTTGGGGGGTTTTCACACAATTTATGCTGGATAGACGTTATTTAAAAATCTTTCTTGTCACAACAAAAATATACAAAATTCATATATTTTCAGCGCTTCAATGGCTAGAAACTGCTGAAAATCTATACAATGCTTATTCTCCCATAAAATGCCTCGAAAAAGAGCTATGATGAATGTTATGACTCATTTTAGGCTTTTCTCGGTTTTTTAAGAGCCCAAAACTTGGCTATAAGTTTTATTTTGAAAATTGACTTTATTTGTAACGAGAGTTATTTTTAGAACATTCTGAATAGTGTCTAGACTTTGTGAATTTGAAATTTTTTGAACCAAAATATTTTCCATTCACTTCAACAAATGTACACTCAGAGATTCGCTGGCCAGCTGGTCACTAGGTGGGACCGACTGCCCATCTGAAATTGACACGGACAACCACATCGCCCGTATTTTTTGCCAGACGACCTGGTCGCGAGGTGGTTCAGTTCATGCAGACCACCTCGCCCAGGTTGTCCAGCTCGTGCCGACCTCGCGTCCAGATCGTCTCGCTTAAGAGAAAAAAGTCCAAAAAACTTGTGAATCCGAGCATTCTAGAAGAAATTGGCTCATTTTCTGTTTTTTCGGAGTACTAGAAACCTTATGAAGTGAAAAAAACAGTAAAAAATGCACTATTTTGAGGACAAACCACCGTCTTGCTAGCTTTCCAGGATTTCAAACACACAGGCCACGTCGCCGGAAAACTCAAGGCGACCTGGTGGCCGAATCAAATTCAGCTCGTTTTGAACTTTCCGGCCACCTGGTCCTGATCTAGTGGCGAGCTGGCCAGCGAATCTCTGAGGCACGATGTATATATTTTTTCAATCCCTATTTCTTTTACTATTTTCTAATTGCGTATTGGGAGAATTACCAACAGAAGACGAACTTAACCTCAAAAAAGAGGCCATATCATTAATGCAAAGATATGTAGCCATGAACATTAATACTCCAATTAATACAGTGGTTCTTGACAATTTCATTATACTTACTTCGAACTACATCGACGAGGAGGTTTATATACATCCTAATGAGTTTGATTTGAGACTTTGGGAACATGCAAACACGATGGGACAACTTTTGAATGTCGGACATGTTTATTCGCTTGTACCATACTCAAGTCTTAACCCAGATTACGTGAAATTTCGTGTTTCTAGTTATAGAGGAATATATGCTGTGGAATATCATATGAAATGGGAGGATCAAGTCTGGAAGCTATCCTGCGAACAGCCCATTGACTTCAACTATGCTTATTCGGACGAAGATTCACTTGAACTTGCTGTTCCAAGTGTAAATTATCGGCAATTAAATATTCTGTTGAGAAGACGACTACAACGTACAATTGAAAGATATCGCCAAAGCCCCGTAACTGGAAGAATGTATAACCACGTCACTGAAAATTTCAGAATTCATGGACCTGGTGGATCAATTCAACCAACTTTTGATGAACTGGATCTTAATTTGAGATTATCTGATGTGAAACATGTGACATATTCTGATTATGAAATGGTTGGTGATATTCCGAAGGTTCGGCAGACTATAGAAACAAGAAGTGGAGACATTCGATTGTATCATTATCATTTTACCCCACTTTCATCAAATCATATGAGGATTACTGATGAATTCTGTGATGGTGAACATATAACTAGTAAAAGTTATGGGAATTTAAATATTTTGCGATATGGATACGGGTGAGTATGCGGTTGTTCACGAATTGAAACACGTCACTTAATTTTTTAAAAGTAACTGTAATGCAGTAATTCACGAAATAAAAAACGTTTTTTTAACGTTAAAAAAAACCAAAAAATTGATTCACGAACGGTATTTTTATTCATTTTTTAAACAAACTGAAGAAAGTGAAGCTAAAACGCATTTTAGTGTTTAGAAATGTCATTCCAAGCTCTTTCAGTGAGTCTAAAAGACAAATCAAGTGTTCAAAATCAAATAGTTGATTTTCGAAAATAACCAATTTCATTTGTTGGGAGATGTTAGGCTTGATTTGCCATTTAGGCTAATCAGAAGGTCTTAAAATGGCATTTCTGAACACTAAAATGCGTTTTAGCTTCACTTTATTTCAGGGAATGTGTTGATAAAATGGTTAAAAAAATGAATGAAAATACCGTTCGTGAATCACTTTTTTGGTTTTTTTAACGTTAAACGTTTTTTATTTCGTGAATTACTACATAAATGAGTCTACACTTGATTGGAGATACATGAAGTAATCAATAAATGTTAGGGTGTGAACTTCGAGAGAGAGAGAAACATAATCGTTTCAGATCTAGTTCATTTGGTCCGCCTACCACTACCATTCCTTCTCTTGAAATCTATGAACCTGCAAAGATTGGAGTGAAGCGAAAACCAGAGGAGTACACCATTTTTGAAAATTTGTACAAAAGATACATTGAGATAACTCCACAAGCTAATCATTATGAAATGATGACTATGGTATTCTATTTCTTCACCATCGATTCTCGTATGATTTTCGTGGAGACTGCTGAAGATATTGCAGAACACGCAAGAACTATGGGACAACTTTTGAGACCGGGAATAATTGATACATTTCAAAAATTGAGTGAGAATAGCTTTAAATTTCGAGTCACAAGCTACAGAGTGCATTTTGCTGTTGAGTTTGGCATGATTCGGGTTGATGGAGTTTGGTTGTTATCTCATGAACAAAAAGTTTCTCCAAAGCCCTCAAACTACGCTTATGTTAAGAAGCTTCAAGCTCCTTCTAAAAGTCTAAAACAAAACATGGATCCTGCTTGGCAACAGAGTCTTAGAGGTAATATGAAAAAACTACAGAAAACAAATATTATTTTTAAAGATGCTGTCGTCGCATATCAGATGATTGATCAGAAAGAAAAGATTGATCCGAAAGAAAGGATTACTGAAAATTTCCAACTTCACGGGCCTGGCGGAATTATTCGACCAACCGAAGATGAATTGGTGGAACATATCAAGTTATCCAATATCAAAACTATGGACGTTTTTGAGTGTCGTTTTTTGGAGGATGGTCGTGCACAAATTAGTGCAACTATTAAAACATTTTCCTCAATCAAACGTGGATGTCATTATAATTTAGTGATAGATGGTGAGAATATCAGGGTAGACGAGGAATTTAATGATGGTGAACATATAATTGATCCGAAAAATGTGAGATTAAATATTTTGCGATATGGATATGGGTGAGTATGCTAATAAATAGTTGTGCGAGAGTCAGTATCGTTTTAGATCCAATTTACATGTTTCGCCACCTAGGTTTCTATCTCTTGAAATCAATGAACCTACAACTAGTAGGAATGGTGGATATTTGCAAAGAGAACGTGGGTGAGTTTATACAAAAAAATACACAAGCAAAAAAAACAAAAAAAATTGAATGGACATATGTATTACCAATATTTCCAGCGTTTCCAATTCGATTGTTCCACAAAATGAAAAACCAAAACCAGAGGAGTACACTATTTTTGAAAATTTATACAAAAGATACATTGAGATAACTCCACAAGCTAATCGTTTTGAAATAATGCATATGGGATTCTATTCCTTAACCATCGATTTTCGTATGATTTTCTTGGAATATGGAGAGACTGGTGAAGATATTGCAAATCACGCAATAACTATGGGACAACTTTTGAGACCGGGAATAATTGTGAAATTTGAAACATCGAGTGAGAATCGATGTAAATTTCGAGTCACAAGTTACAGAGCGCATTTTGCTGTTGAGTATACTATGATCAACATTAATGGAATTTGGTTGTTGTCTGAAGAACGACAGATTTCTCGTGGCTCCTCGAACTTCGATAATGTTAGGAAGCTTCCTACTCCTGCTCAAAGTCTACAACAAAGCATTGATTCTGATTTACGACGAAGTCTTGAAGGTGAGCTGATGAAAACTACATTTAAAAAATGAATAGTAGTTTTAAAGAGGCTGTTGTCGCATATCGTAGCCTTGAGAAGGAAAATATGTATGATTATGTTACTAAAAAATTTTTACTTCATGGTCCTGGCGGAACTATTCAACCAACCCAAGATGAATTGGTGGAACATATCAAGTTATCCAAGATCAAATCTCTGGACTATATTGAATATCGTTTTTTGGAGGATGGTCGTGCACAAATTAGTGCAACTATTAAAACATTTACTTCAATCAAACGTGGATGTCATTATAATTTAGTGATCGATGGTGAGAAGATTAGGGTAGATGAGGAATTTAATGATGGTGAACATATAAATAATCCGATAAATGTGAGATTGAATATTTTGCGAAATGGGAATATGGTAGGATATGTTTGATTGATTTATTGGTTAATAAATTTGTTAACATAACACTTTTGAGGCTCTTAAGAATCCTTAAGGCATTTTAGGTTGACAGCAGGTCTCAATTGCAGATGATGTTCTCGAAGCATTGGTAGATAAGCTTGGCTGAAAATTGGCTTCAGGTGTAGAAAGCCTGGCACCTAGCCCCATTTTTTCGTTGAGAACAAAAAATTGTTGCTCTTTGTGTTGTGGAACAGAGAAAATTTACGATAAACACATTTTTTTGTTGATAAAAATATTGGGAACCGAAAATTTCCTGGTCTAATCTATTCATTTTTGAGGACTTTGAGTTTTGCCAAAAAAAAGTATTTTTCAGATTTTTTTTTGTTCAAAGAAAACTCATTCAACCGCAAAAATGGGTAAACAACATTTTTTTCAAACTTTTTTTGAACAACTTTTTTTTTTCGAGAGAAACACCCACTCTATTTCAGTTGTGAGGTTTAAATTTGTTTTTTTTTGTTCAAATTTCAAATTTTTTGCCAAAAATTGCATGAAAATATTTGTTTTCAGCTTTTTTATTTTTGGTTGCCAAGGTGAATAGAAAATTGCTTTTTTTTTCAGATTTTTGGAGCATTTTTCGTGTGAGCTTGTGAGTTTTTTTTTTGGGAAACTTTTTTCGAATTTTGGCTTCTCCCAGAAAACTGTAATTTTCAGCTCGAAAATTTTTGTTATCAAAAAAAAACTGAACGATTGTGTTTTAATTCAACCTTGAAACCAAAAAACCAAAAAAAAATTTTTTTTGTTTAAAAAATTTCTCGGTCTGGTCATTTTTGACCACAATTAAAAAGGGTTTAGAGTATTTTCGAGAAAAACATTTTTTCGATAAAAATTTGAAAACCACTTGAAATTTCGAATTCTAATTCGCTAAATATAGGCAATTTTCAAGGAAGGTCGAATTTTTTCGAGAAAAAATGAAATTTGGTTTAGGTGAGTCACATTTTGGGTGCGTTTTTTCTTGGTATCAAAAAGTTGGCGCAAAATTCACCTTAAAATTTTCAGCCCAAATTTATTTATAAACATTTCAAAATTTTTTTGCAGATAAAAATAATTCATTTTTATTTACAACAATAGTTTAGTACTTTAAGGTCTCAAAAATTTGGCGAACTTTTTGTTTTTTTTGCAAAAAAAATTATTTTTGAGAGTATAAAATGTATTCACAAATGATTGAGAATAGATGAAAATTATGGTTTTGACGTGGAAAAACAATGGGAATAAATTTGGGGTTTTCACATAATTTACGCTAAGCACTGTATTTTGCTTAAAATTCACGTTAAAAATTAATTTTACTTCAAGATTTACGCCCTAATTGTGCCTAGCTGAAAATTTTCGTTGAAATTTAAAAAAATTTAAGCTTAGAAATTTACGCTTAAAACTATACCCAGCCTAAAATTCAAGTAAAATCCGAATTCCGCAGTGAAATGTCTCAAATTCCACTGATTTTCACTCAAAATTCCCCGCAAAACCGGATTTCCTCGCATCTTACGCGATATTATCGATTACATAATCATTAAATCATTCCATATGATCTCTTCCTTTCCCCCCTTCAGAAACCCGAACCGGTTTATTTTCCATTTTTTTTTGCGACGGCGCCGCTTTTTTTCTGGCCGCCCGCGCCTAATGGCATTTACAAGTGTTTTTTGGACGTTTTTGGTGTTTTTCCCCACACATTTTCATAAATTTTTTGTACAGTTCCTGTTTACACGGCGTGTTTTGACTGTGTGTGTTAATTATCTGAATTACACAAATAATTAACACATTTGAAAATCGCATTAAAATTGATTTTTTTCTCGCTATACAACACGTGTAGTTTTTTTTGGAATATAGTTGAGTTATGATAAGTTTTGGAAGGGACATAGACACTTATAAGAAGCAGGTAAACCTATATCCTCCAAGAGAAGTACACAAAAAATTACATGTTTTAAAGGAACATATCTGATTCTAAGAGATCGGTATGTTCCTTCAAAACATTCCTATAACCCAATTATCCTCCAAGAGAACTACACACACTTATAAAAATGTTAGAATGATCCTTTATAATCTTACCATACCCCATCTTCCAAGAGAACTACACAAAATCAATGTTGCTTCTAGAAAACAGTAGAATCCTTGATCTTTACCCCAATCCATCAATCTTGTGTATTTCTTCCAATTACCGTTTTTTGGAACCGTTTTCGTTCCCGAATCCCCTCCCCCATTTTTCTGCCCGCGCAACCAGTTTCGTCTAACTTTCCATTTTTCACCTTGTAGTTTTGCCGGTTTTGTTCTTCTCATCCTCTTTTTTCGGTCGGGCGAGACAAGGAAATTTGCATTTTCTTTCTTTTTTGTTGTTCCGATCAACATCAAGATCTTTTTGCAGTAGGTCAAAAAGATGACTTTTCGTTCGCGGAAATGTCGATCTACTTCGATTTCTTCGTCGCAAGAGTCTAGGGTGAGTTGGTTTTGAGGTTTGGGCCTAAAAGTTGTTAAGTAAATTATTTACATTAGTGAAATAGGGTAGACTAAGTACAAAATCTAGGCTTACAAATATTCGCTTAGCGTTGAATTAATATTCTTAAAATACCCTTAACCTAATTCAAATTCCCAAAAACCATTTCCAGAAAAAAATCGTGACTCGCGTTCAAGAAGGTCTTCTCGAAGGCGTCAGCCACACCACCAAAACCGGCTACACCTGCAATTTCTTCCTAGGAATCCCATATGCCAGCCCGCCAGGCCGATTCGAGAAGCCTAAGCCTATGACTCCATGGGTCGGTGTGCGGAAATGCGATGAGCTGCCGAATCGCAGTATTTTTCGCGAGATGTTTTGGGAGAAGTTTTTAGCCAAGGCTCCACAAAGCGAGGATTGTCTGTATTTGAATGTTTTTGCTCCGGAGCTCAAGGCGGGCTCCGATGCTCAAAAATCCTACCCAGTATTATTCTACATCCACTGCGGTGGATATATGATTGATTCAACTGAACGGTACACTCCTGACACACTGTGCAAGCGGCTGATCTCTAGAGATATCATAATTGTGACCTTCCACTATCGCCTGGGATATCTAGGCTTCCTCTCAACAGGAGATGAGATCTGCCCAGGGAATTTCGGGCTTTGGGATATGCTAGAGGCTCTGAAGTGGACCCACAAGAACATCGCAAGTTTCGGCGGCGATCCGGAAAACATCACAATCTCGGGGCATTCCGCAGGTGCCGCATCAGCAGATCTACTCTCCTACTCTCCGCATGCTTCCGGAATCTTCAAACGGAAAATCATCATGGGCGGAAATTCACACTGCCATTGGGCAGTGCAGAAGAGTTGCGCGGTGCGCGAGTATTGTATGCGACAGGCGAGGAAGCTGGGTTGGAAGGAGAAGCCTGGCGGGTATGCGACGAAGCGGGATGAGAGTTTGGCGTTGGTGGAGTTCTTCAAGAAGGTGCCGGCGGGGAAGTGAGTTTGAAGAGGGGTGGAAAAGGGGCGGGGCTGGGGTTTTGCAAGTCTGGCACACTTTTGTTCGAGCGCTCTGCGCGAGTGTAAACCGCAAGCTTCCGCGAAGCGGCACTGTCTTTCGCAAAACGGCTAAGCCTGTTCCTAGAAGCCTAGCCCCTTGCGCTCTGAAAAGTGGGCGGAGCCTAACTCCTGCAATCCTGGCACACTTTTCCATTTTCCAGAATCGGCACAACAATGTTCTTCTGCAAAACAATTCCTGCAGAATGCCGTCTTCCACTAGCCCCAGTCATCGACGGCGATTTCTTCCCAACCGATATCCCAAGCCTGCGCGAGACCCAAACCCACGTTCCCTCAATTGTTGGGGGCGGGGAATATGAGGCTCTGCTTTTCGTAGCTATTTATTTGCTGAAGGGAAGTCAGAAGGAGGTGCAGAAGGTCATAGAGATGTTAGCGAAGAAGATGAAGACCAGTAGAGCACAGGTGCTCGAGGGGATTGGGTATGTGTATGAGGAGCAGTTGCAGGGCTGGAAAGAGCCCGGCGCAAGGCTCGAGGTTCTCCGAGCCCTCGAGGCCCTTCCCACTAAGTCACGCCAAAAATTCTATGTGGATCTCATCTCGGACATTTTCGGCAACTATGCCAATCATCAATTCATTCAAGATCAAATCACCAGGGATATCCCGTGCTATGCCTATAGTTTTGACTGGCAAAGCAAGCAGCTGTGGGGTTGGCTCCAGCATGTGGTTCCGTTCACCGGCGGGACCCACACTTCGGATTTGACTCATCTTTTTGACTGTAACTACATGTCGGCCGCTCTGGATATGAATAAGATGGATAAATTTGTGAGTAAGATGACGCAGCAGTATTTTACAAATTTTATCAAGACCGGCGATCCGAACTTGGGAAGCCTGGACTCAGGCCAAGGGCTCGCAGATGCTCGCAATCTCCCCGAATGGCTACCCATGGCGCGCTCCCACGGGCAAGTTTTGAGTATCAAACCGGCTCCCGAGATGAAACATACCGCCTATTCTACCAGGATGCAGAAATTCGAGCAGTTTTTAGGCTCGCGGAGCTCTGACACTCAAGCGAAAAATTCTTGTGTGATAGAAAATGACGTGCTCAAAAATATAACCACGGTTATAGTTGAATAATTTTTTTTCGGTTTTTTAGTGAAAAAAATTAATTTTAGGATGTTTCCGAATGATCTCTATAATAAAGTATTTTTATTTAAAATTAGTTGTCTATGAGAAAACCGCGACGCAGCCGCGACGCGTACAAAAACTTCTTTCTCAACTAGTAGCTGATTGCTCATGTTACAAATCACATTGCTAATATTAGAAGTCTTATTGCTCATATAAAACTCTCTACTCATCTGAAATTTTCAGGATCAAAAACCGCAACGCAACCGCGTCGCATGACTAATTTTGTTTGTAGTGTTTTGTTTTCCAAAATTTCAATTTTGAAATTGTAAACAAGTCCGTTAACACAGTGTTTTGATTCAATTTTGTGTCAAAATTTTCAGGAGAAAAATCAATGTTTTTGGCCAAAAAAAACCGGAAAAGGGAAACAATTAAGTTGTTCTTCTTGGGCAAGAATAATCCGCCGCAAAATCCCCCAAGTTTTCTCAGCAAAAAAAATGACGCATGAAAAACTTGGGAAGACACATTGATAACCTACAAAAAAATGCTGCTGGCCAATTTTTTTGTCATCTTTTTTTGCGCGCGGATGACAAACTACGATTTTGTGTTTCTCTCTCTCTCTCAACAAAAAATCTTAAATCAGAGAAAAACCAGTTTTGAAAAATGAAAAATGAAATTTGTGGAGGCTACAGAAGATAAGAGTCAGGTACATTACTTGTAGAAACTATATTGTATTTTTGTAGCCTGGGAGCAAAGCGGTACTGTAGGAGTACGGTATAAAGAATATAGGAGTATCACAGCACACAAATAGTTTGTACAAAGAAATTTCAACTACAAAGAAAATGACAGTACAAAAATATTTACCCCTATTGAAGTACAGTAGACCTTGGGTATAGTACATTAGCTACAGTATTCTGTAGCTTAGCTTATGTGTTACTTTACAGTACCTAGAGATTTCTACAGTATGATGTTCACCGTATACTCAATTAACGTTTTAATATGCCAAATTGCGTTAGCTGCCTCAAATTGTACTGTGGCTATCTAACACACTGAAATAACCTATAACTTCAGAATATTTTAATATGAGCAATGTATTACCGTGCCATTTCTACAGTACTTTGGGCCACTCTGGCCCTTTCTAGCCATGTTTTTTGGGCTACCAAATGAATTCTAAAACTTCAAAACATGAAAAAATCATGGTCTCTGATTTGATAAGCGACTATTCCACTACATACGCGCGCAAAAAAGATCAAAGTCATAAAAAACATCAGATTTTCAGTCAGGCTACAATGAAGGTTCAATTGATTGTGAGAAATTGATTGCAAAATTTCGAGCCTCGAAAACCATGCTACGTGGCAAAAAAAATTGGGAAAATTCCAAAAATAGTCATAAATTCACGTGACAAACAAACAATTTTTTTTATCATTTCTCGAAAATTCTTCATAAACAGGTAAAAAAATGTAAAAAAAAATGCCACGTACAAGAAAACTCTTGAAAATTGCCACGTCATAGCCATATAATTTCAAAAAAGCTCAAAAGCTCCTTGAAATGCTCTGGAGTGCCCTAATATGCTCAAAATATCTGAAAATGCTCCAGAAGCTCTGAAAATGCTCCAGAGCTCCCTAAAATGCTTCAGAACTCTTCAAAATTCGCCACGTCATAGCCAATATTTTCATCTATGATCCTCTAACTTCACGTCATTTTAACACCTTATTTTAGGAATAAAAAACAAAAAGGACTTTCAAATTTCAAATTTTCAAGTGTTCCCCCCAAAAAATGACATCATTCAAGTTGTTTTAATTCAAAAATCACCCAACAACTTACTCTAACTACAATAACTACATGTTTTCATGTTGTTCTTATTCGTATCTAGGCTCCGCCCATTTTTGGGTCGGGAAAATATAAAAGTAGCCTTGGGTTGGGGTCAGACAGCAAAACAATTGACAAAAAATTGAGAAATTCGAAAATTTTTAACGAAATTTGGTAAACATGCCGCTGAAATTGCTGAAAAAACGACGTTCGGGTAGGTTTTTGGGGTTTCAGAGGGTGAAAAAGGGACCCGAACGGGCCTGGAGAGCTCCCAAGGGCTTCAGAGACTCCTAGAGGGCTTTAGAGACTCTAAATAACATCACCTAACCTAAATTCATTTCCAGGACGTGTCCGAACATCTTCCAACCCTCAAATGGGCGCCTGCTTCTCAGGCTTCAAAGAGGACCGGCCCAAAAATGGAAACAAGGTAATCCTAAGCCCCCCTAACAAGCCCCCTAAGCCTATTTTTTTTCCAGATAATTCGAGTTGAGCAAGGTTTGCTCGAAGGAACTTTCCTCGAAACCAGTGAAGGCTACAAATGCGACGTATTTTTGGGCATTCCGTACGCAAGTCCACCTTGCGGACCCCTCCGCTTTCAAAAACCGCAACCACCGCAAAGATGGAGTGACGTGCGGAAATGCGGAAAGTTTCCGAATCGTAGTATTCACAAGGAAATGCCGTGGGATAAGGCGTTGGCTTCGGCGCCGCAAAGCGAGGATTGCTTGTATTTGAATGTGCATGCGCCGCAGATCAGGGAGGATAAGGTGAGGCGAAAGTGCGCTCTAGCGAACGTAGGGTGTTTGGAGAGAATATTTGAATATTCAAATGTGATGGGGGAAAGTCTAATGAGAATCTAGCTCTGGGTGAAAATTTCAATAAGATGTGCGCACTGAAATTCAAATATTCTTCAAAAATAGCAAATGTGCTCCAAAGCCAATCTAGCTATTCAACCAAAAATTCAAAAAATTCCAGAAATACCCAGTGCTGTTCTACATCCACGGCGGTGGTTTCATGATGGATTCAGCCGAACGATACACCGCCAAAAACATCTGTCGCCTTCTCGTCTCCAAGGACATCATCGTCGTCACCATCCACTACCGGCTCGGATATCTAGGCTTCCTCTCAACCGGCGACGATCTTTGTCCAGGCAACTTCGGACTTTGGGACATGTTGGAGGCTCTGAAGTGGACCCACAAGAACATCGCTAGCTTCGGCGGCGATGCGGAAAACATCACGCTCTCCGGACAATCGGCGGGTGGCGCATCGGCCGACTTGCTCTCCTATTCTCCACTGGCCGCCGGGCTTTTCAAGCGGAAAATTGTGATGGGCGGAAATTTGTATTGTCATTGGGCGGTACAGAAGAAGTCCGCAGTTCGCGAATATTGTCGTGACAAGGCTGTGAGATTAGGCTGGAAGCCAAGAGCCGAAGGTTATGCTGATCAGAGGGATGAGAGTCAAGAGATGTTGGATTTTTTCAAGACAGTTCCCGCGGGAAGGTAGGTAGTAAAAGAGTTTGAATATCTTCAAAACATGAGCAATTCAGACTCGCCACCACAATGTTCTTCAACAAAACCATCTTCACCGAATGCCGCTTGCCTCTAGCCCCAGTCATCGACGGCGAGCTTCTTCCAGACGACATTCAAACACTCCGCAACACCCAAACCCATGTTCCCTCGATTGTTGGAGGCGGTGAGCATGAGGCTCTTCTCTTCGCCGCTATCGGTTTGCTCCGCGGAACCGAGAAGGAATTACGCAGTGCGGAAGCAGTTATTGCGCAGAAAACGGGGCTCGCGATATCCGCGGTAACGGATCTCATTGAAAAAGTTTATGGTGATCGAGGAGAATCAAAATCCCAGCGTCAAAAGATCTACATTAATCTGGTCTCAGATATCTTTGTGAATTTCGCCAATCATCGGTTCATCGAAGATCAAAATTCCCGGAAAATCCCGTGCTATGCCTATAGTTTTGATCATCAAAGTAAACAACAATGGGGTTGGCTTCAACACGTCGTTCCGTTCACCGGTGGAACTCATACTTCCGATGTTACCTATTTATTCGACTGTAATTATATGTCTTCACCTTTGGGAATGACGAAAATTGATAAAGAAGTGAGCCGAATGACTGGAGAGTATTTCACCAATTTTGTTAAGTTTGGGTAAGTTTTTGAAGGGTTTCTTAAAGTATGTTAGCTTTTAAGCTACACTCCAGGAGGTTTAAGGTATCTAAGGTTCTCTATGAGTTAGGCTAAGTCTACACTTAATTTTAAAAGGTTCAAAAGTTTCTTAAAACTCATAGAAACTTAAAATACAGAAAATTAAGAAAAATTTTTGTTATGCCTAACAAGCTTAACTTAAGCTAGATTATTTATAATTAATTTAGAAACCTTAAGAGCCCAATTTAAAAGCCTATTAAATTTACTAGACTTTTCTTATCTTAAATATTAAGTTAGGGTATTCAAGATCCCTAATTTTCGAAATCACAAGCCTCTACCTAAAAGCCTATACCTCCAATTTCCAGATCACCAAACGCCCATCACCCCACAAGTTCCCCCACCTGGGAGCCCACCGCAACTCCCTACAAAGCCTTAAGCCTAAAATCCGAGCCCGAAATGAGAAGCACCGGCTACTCGGGTCGAATGTCGATGCTCGCCGAATTTATCGAAAAAATGTACGAGGCTCCGCTGACCGCCAAAATCATGCCACCATTTGAAAATGGGCCGTTTTCCGAGGTGGAAATTGAAGTTCAGGCCTGAATTCTAGGCCTGGAAGGTCCTATTTAACTTGTATTTTGTATCTAGTCTTCTAACTATTTCATGATCTCTGTCCTTTTTAATAAAGTGTTATTTTCAACCAAAAAAAAAGTCGAAAACAACAAAAAAAAATATAGTACACCTCCTCTTTTTGACGAATGGCTTGGTCTTTGAAACTTATCAATCGAAAAAAAATTTTTTCGAAAAAAAAACAAGCAGGCAAAAAATGATGATAATAAAATAAAATTAGTGGTTTGTGACGTCACAATTTTTTTTTTTTTGAAAACTGGTTTTGAAATGGGGGGAAAAATAAATAAAAGTAAAGTTACAATTTTAATTGGACAAGGGGTTTTTGAAGTTTGACCTGAGCAATGTGTACATTTTCATAGGAAAATTTAGGTTAATATGAGCAATTTGAATATTCGAAAGACTAACATGAGCAATCAGAAAATTTCTAGAACCCTTGAAGGCTAATCTGATCAATGTCTAGATTTTCCAAAGCTATTTGTGCTCTCCAGCTTTACCCATAACCTGAGAAATCCTCTAAAATTCCCCGTTAACCTGAGCAATGCCTACAAAATAATTTTCATCTCCGATCTTTTGGTGATTGATGATTTTTTGGCTACAAAAAATAACAAAAACAGAAAAAAAACAAAAACAATACGTGAATGATACGAAAAACAGGGTCTGAAGGTCATTAATATGAGCAATGTAGGGCTTGGTAATTTGGTTATGAATTTGGTTATGATGACTAGACATTTTTAGCATGAGCAATCCTATAATATTCCTCTGGAAGGCCACTTTAAATTGAGCAATTCCTTCAAGTTCCTCTAATATGAACAATCCCACAAAAAGGGATTTTAACCTGAGTAATCTTTAAAATTCAATATTTTTCTAGAAAATTCTCCGCAAAAAAATCCGGTTTTTCTGTGGTTTGTGTCAAATTTTGTGAAGAGGTCACTTGATTTTTGAACATTTGAACAAAAATATTTGGGAATTCAAATAATTCGATTAGGTGGAGACAAGTTTTAGAGAAAGAAGAGGAAGAAGTGATAAATATAAGCAATGCATACAAAAAATATTAAAAATTGAGCCTGAGCAATCCCCTAAAAATTTAGCCTGAGCAATGCCCTCAAAAAAATCAGAATTCTAACATGAGCAATGTCTTTTAACACTTCAGAACTATTTTGTGGTAACATGAGCAATGTCTTTAAGAACTTCAGAAGTTTTCTTTTCTTCCTTAACCTGAGCGATGTTTATTTTAACATGAGCAATCCAATTTTTCGTCAATATTCCATCATTTTTCATATGATCCAAATCAATATTTTTCAATAAATATTTTTTTTTGTTTCCAAAAAATGTCTTATCACAAAAATCGTTTCATTTTTCATATCAGAACACATTTTTCTAGATATTTTCTAGATATAATCTGAAATTCCCCCAAGTTCCTCTAACTTTTGGCCAAAAATCTAAGATAAAATTGGGGGATTTTTGGCAAATTAGGGGGACTTGGGGTGAGCAAAACATTGCTCAGGCTACACTAGAAAATTCCGGGAATTTTTTATGATATGAGCAATGCTTTTCCGGCTACACAAAACGGTATACCAATGCTGAAAAATGCTGTACCCTGAGCAATGCTCAAAAATCCACTAATCTGAGCAATGCTCAAGTGTAGTACAAGATTCAAAGATAATCAAAGTGTTATTCAACTTTTCTCTCTCCCCAAAAATAATTTTGTACTATTTTTGTTGGAATCAAATTATGCGCACGTTTTTTGAGTGACTAGACTTGTTATTCCAAAATTTCTGCTGATCCGCTGGGAAAAAAGCTGACTTGCTAAATCATTTTCAGCCCAAATTTCGAGCTGAAAACGAAAATGAGCATCTTGTGGTGGCTCTCGGTGCTCCATACAACTCTAGCCATCTTCGGAGCATTCTCCAACGCTCTAATGATATTCCTAGTGCTCCTAAGGACCCCAAAAATGCTTCGAATTTATTCGGTGATTCTGGGAGTTCACGCAACTTCCGACTGTCTAACGTGTCTTCTGGAGCTCGCCACAAAATTCCGAATCATCGCCGCAAAATTCACGCTAGCTTATGTGAGCACAGCATTTTGTACGCAATTTTCGCCGCGAGTTTGCGAGTTTTGCTACAATTTTATGCTGCATCTATTTAGCGTAAGTCTATATTTGTTGCTGATTTCATTCGGATATCGATATTATATTTTGGTTTTTGGGCAGCCGAGAGTTCGGAGGATTTTGTGGGTGATGGCCGGGTTTTATGTGCCGTGTTTGATGCAGGTGGTGAGTGAAGACTAGAGTATAGTTTATGAGTCAGAGACGCAGAGAAGCCAGGATCATAGATTAATAAGAGACCGTTAGAGAAGCAGAGAGCAGACAGTCATCTAGAGAATGTTAGAGACGCAGAGGTGGTACACAGCTAGACACTAAAACTTCTCGAGAGTCCAGAGAAGTCAGAAATCAGTAAAGTCCACTCTGGTTGAAGAGAGCACTATAGTGTAGTTAGAGACGCAGAGGAGATGAATAGCTAGAGCAACAATTAATTGAGAGAGTCCAGACAGCTACAGTAAATTGAAAATCACATGAATCTGATAGAGCTCAAACAAATAGAGTCAGTTAGAGATCACAGGAATCTGATAGAGCTCAGACAACTAGAGACCATTATGAATTAGGAGAGTCCAGAGAGCTAGAGATTATTAGTTATCACTATGAATTTAGAGAGTCCAGACGACTAGACTACAATATAGTTCTCTGTTGTTTGAGAGAGTCCAAACAGCTAGAGACAACTAGAAAATTAGAGACGCAGAGAAACTAGTAGTTTTTAATAATTTTCATCAAATTTGACTCATGACTATGATATTTCTGACTCATTTTTTGCAGATTTTTTTCTGATTATGACAAAAATCAGTAAAACATGATGAAATTCTTGGAATTTTCATTTTTGAGTAATTAATTAGCGAATTAATTAAGAAGTCCCATAAGATTTATTTATTTGCTCGATTTTTTGACCAACAATTTTTCCCGGGCAGAAAAAGGTCCCAAAAACCCCGGCAAAACTAACCGTTTTGCATTTTTGTGGAGATTCCTTGTTGATTTCCAGCAACTTGCTCGATTTTCAGCCAAAAATTTGCGAATTTCCAGAAAAGTGCTAGTTCTTGTTGTTAGAATACTCTTCCTGAAAAATGAGGGATTTTTGGATTTTTCTTTCAATTTTTTTAGCTTTAAAGTTGCTTCTGGGTGGCTTACTAAGCTTTTTTTACATTTTTGGATTTGTCCAAATCTGTAACTTTTTTTTAAAAAAATTTTTGTTAGCTACCCGCTTGACTCTTGTTAGCTACCCGCTTGATTCGAGTCGATTCGAACCGATTCGAACCGATTCGAGTCGATTCGAACCGATTCGAACCGATTCGAGTCGATTCGAACCGATTCGAGTCGATTCGATTCCCTTCCCTCCATTTTTTTTTAAATTTTTAATAAAAATATGGAATGAAAAATTGGGGTTTTCGCCTTCACAGTTACTTCTGGGTGGTTACTAAGCCTAAGCCTTTTTTAACAGTGTTAAAAATTTTCTTTCAATTTTTTTAGCTTTAAAGTTGCTTCTGGGTGGCTTACTAAGCTTTTTTTACATTTTTGGATTTGTCCAAATCTGTAACTTTTTTAAAAAATTTTTGTTAGCTACCCGCTTGACTCTTGTTAGCTACCCGCTTGATTCGAACCGATTCGAACCGATTCGAGTCGATTCGAGTCGATTCGAACCGATTCGAGTCGATTCGAACCGATTCGAACCGATTCGAACCGATTCGAGTCGATTCGAACCGATTCGAACCGATTCGAACCGATTCGAGTCGATTCGAACCGATTCGAAAAAAATTTTTGTTAGCTACCCGCTTGATTCGATCCGATTCGAGTCGATTCGAACCGATTCGAGTCGATTCGAACCGATTCGAACCGATTCGAGTCGATTCGAACCGATTCGAGTCGATTCGAACCGATTCGAACCGATTCGAGTCGATTCGAACCGATTCGAAAAAATTTTTGTTAGCTACCCGCTTGACTCTTGTTAGCTACCCGCTTGATTCGAGTCGATTCGAACCGATTCGAACCGATTCGAGTCGATTCGAGTCGATTCGAGTCGATTCGAACCGATTCGAGTCGATTCGAACCGATTCGAACCGATTCGAACCGATTCGAGTCGATTCGAACCGATTCGAGTCGATTCGAACCGATTCGAGTCGATTCGATTCCCTTCCCTCCATTTTTTTTAAATTTTTAATAAAAATATGGAATGAAAAATTGGGGTTTTCGCCTTCACAGTTACTTCTGGGTGGTTACTAAGCCTAAGCCTTTTTTAACAGTGTTAAAAATTTTCTTTCAATTTTTTTAGCTTTAAAGTTGCTTCTGGGTGGCTTACTAAGCTTTTTTTACATTTTTGGATTTGTCCAAATCTGTAACTTTTTTAAAAAAATTTTTGTTAGCTACCCGCTTGACTCTTGTTAGCTACCCGCTTGATTCGAGTCGATTCGAACCGATTCGAACCGATTCGAGTCGATTCGAGTCGATTCGAGTCGATTCGAACCGATTCGAGTCGATTCGAACCGATTCGAACCGATTCGAACCGATTCGAGTCGATTCGAACCGATTCGAGTCGATTCGAACCGATTCGAGTCGATTCGATTCCCTTCCCTCCATTTTTTTTAAATTTTTAATAAAAATATGGAATGAAAAATTGGGGTTTTCGCCTTCACAGTTACTTCTGGGTGGTTACTAAGCCTAAGCCTTTTTTAACAGTGTTAAAAATTTTCTTTCAATTTTTTTAGCTTTAAAGTTGCTTCTGGGTGGCTTACTAAGCTTTTTTTACATTTTTGGATTTGTCCAAATCTGTAACTTTTTTTTAAAAAAATTTTTGTTAGCTACCCGCTTGACTCTTGTTAGCTACCCGCTTGATTCGAACCGATTCGAACCGATTCGAGTCGATTCGAGTCGATTCGAACCGATTCGAGTCGATTCGAACCGATTCGAACCGATTCGAACCGATTCGAGTCGATTCGAACCGATTCGAACCGATTCGAAAAAAATTTTTGTTAGCTACCCGCTTGACTCTTGTTAGCTACCCGCTTGATTCGATCCGATTCGAGTCGATTCGAGTCGATTCGAACCGATTCGAGTCGATTCGAACCGATTCGAACCGATTCGAGTCGATTCGAACCGATTCGAACCGATTCGAACCGATTCGAACCGATTCGAAAAAAATTTTTGTTAGCTACCCGCTTGACTCTTGTTAGCTACCCGCTTGATTCGATCCGATTCGAGTCGATTCGAGTCGATTCGAACCGATTCGAGTCGATTCGAACCGATTCGAACCGATTCGAGTCGATTCGAACCGATTCGAGTCGATTCGATTCCCTTCCCTCCATTTTTTTAAATTTTTAATAAAAATCTGGAATGAAAAATTGGGGTTTTCGCCTTCACAGTTACTTCTGGGTGGTTACTAAGCCTAAGCCTTTTTTAACAGTGTTAAAAATTTTCTTTCAATTTTTTTAGCTTTAAAGTTGCTTCTGGGTGGCTTACTAAGCTTTTTTTACATTTTTGGATTTGTCCAAATCTGTAACTTTTTTAAAAAAATTTTTGTTAGCTACCCGCTTGACTCTTGTTAGCTACCCGCTTGATTCGAACCGATTCGAACCGATTCGAGTCGATTCGAGTCGATTCGAACCGATTCGAGTCGATTCGAACCGATTCGAACCGATTCGAACCGATTCGAGTCGATTCGAACCGATTCGAACCGATTCGAACCGATTCGAGTCGATTCGAACCGATTCGAAAAAATTTTTGTTAGCTACCCGCTTGATTCGATCCGATTCGAGTCGATTCGAACCGATTCGAGTCGATTCGAACCGATTCGAACCGATTCGAGTCGATTCGAACCGATTCGAGTCGATTCGAACCGATTCGAACCGATTCGAGTCGATTCGAACCGATTCGAAAAAATTTTTGTTAGCTACCCGCTTGACTCTTGTTAGCTACCCGCTTGATTCGAGTCGATTCGAACCGATTCGAACCGATTCGAGTCGATTCGAGTCGATTCGAGTCGATTCGAACCGATTCGAGTCGATTCGAACCGATTCGAACCGATTCGAACCGATTCGAGTCGATTCGAACCGATTCGAGTCGATTCGAACCGATTCGAGTCGATTCGATTCCCTTCCCTCCATTTTTTTAAATTTTTAATAAAAATATGGAATGAAAAATTGGGGTTTTCGCCTTCACAGTTACTTCTGGGTGGTTACTAAGCCTAAGCCTTTTTTAACAGTGTTAAAAATTTTCTTTCAATTTTTTTAGCTTTAAAGTTGCTTCTGGGTGGCTTACTAAGCTTTTTTTACATTTTTGGATTTGTCCAAATCTGTAACTTTTTTTTAAAAAAATTTTTGTTAGCTACTGTAACTGCTAGACCGGTTCATATAATATAATAAGTTTATTAATACATAAATAGCAAGTTACGGATACGATACAAATTAGGGTGTCGACATCTGACCTGGTCCTACGCGTCCCCTCATAGAACTCCCTTATCAGTCTCTCGGTGAAGTTTATATAGTGAAGTCTTATCGCACGTTACATTCCTATCCGGCATATTGGGATTCGACCTCGAATCCTTCGAAATTCTCAATGGTTAATGTGATTCGGATGTGTGCTTGAGTGATGTGTTGGATTGATTGATTGGTTTGGAGTTGGCGTTGAACATGTTGAATTGGCTCGAAGTTTTTGTTGAACATGTTGAATTAGCTTGAAGTTTGCGTTGACTATTGAATGGGTTCACAGTTGGCGTTGAACGTTTTGAATTAATTTGAGCTGGCGTTGTACATTGAACTGATTCGGCTCGGTTGGTTCGATGGTTGTTCTTGCGGGGATTCATAGATCAGGATGTCGGTTGTGGTGGATAATCGGGTGGCAATGAAATATAAACAAGTGGCAATGAAATATAAGCAGGTGGCAAAAATATAAACGGGTGACAATACAATATAAAGGTAACAATAAAATACATATGTAGTTGATATGGATTTGATGATTGGATGTGGTTGCAATTGATGATGATCTGTAAGAAGTTTTGGTTGGTGAAAGGTCTTACAACTTTGATCTAGGCTAGTCTGCCTATCCCTCTTACCACTTTTGTGATTTTTTTTTGTTTTTGGTTGGTGAAAGGTCTTACAACTTTGATCTACTAGTCTGCCTATCCCTTTTATCGGTTCGCGACCCGAGAACTTAGTTCTTGCGTTTTGTTGTCGCTGGGAACGTTGTCCATCCTGGGACGGCCCGACGCTTCGGTTTCGACGGGATATCGTTGGATGTTCCATCTTAGGTCTGAGAGATGCCGATTAACGGTTTCCAGAAGTCCGTCTTCTCCGATTGGAAAAGGGATCCGAAGATGTATACGGCTTCTCTGATCTGGCCCACCGCCACTGAGCGGGTTTCCTCGTCGGTGTACCCCATTTTATCAGTTTATACGGACTCGTGGGATATCGAGATAAACGGCCGGCGTTTGACTGGTGGGCGGTAGTGGCGCCGGTCTGTGACGGATAGGCGCTGTTGGAGTGAGCGGTGAAGGACCTTCCATTGATATGCTTTTCCATGGTTGAGAATACAATGGTTCTGCTTCTTCCTCGATGGGGATGCTCATCGTTCCCGGAGATATCGGCTCGGCTGTCGTTACCTGATCTCTTTCAATAATTCGCCGGATAGACGCATCTGCATTCGCGTCCCAATATGGAGCTTCTCGTCCCATCTGTCTTACGTTGCTCACCAAGTTCCGCAGAGTGCTGCTATGGTATCTTTGGCCTATGATAGTAGGGATATTTCCCATGTTCGCATAGATAAAGAAACCTATGATTGCGGCTCGAATCAAGATGTATGCTGTAACTATAGCGCACACCGTGTACACCCATGCGTCCACCATCGTTGGGATTCTGCCGAAGACGGCCCTTGTGGCCCATCCTGACCAATCCGGCATTTCCCATTTTCCGTCGTTCTCGTTTACGATCTTTTTGATGGCGTCGTCTAATGCATAATATGGCATTGATCGAACATTACTGTCTAAATTTCTGCTGGTGCGTCTAGCCATGTCGTTTACTTGGATGACGTCAAAACTACCACCGACGGGCGATGGTAATGAATTGGATAAGTTCCTGATCGTGATCGCGTGGAACATTTTGAACGGGAAGTACCCGTCTGGGTTTTCTTGATTCACAGGGGTACCGATTTCGCTAACCGTGTGAGTGTCAATCTGTTTCAATGAGCCTGAACTGGCTTCATAAATTAACAAATTGTTGAAGATTCGGATCGGAATTTCGCGAACTAGCGCGCACTCTTGTTGGGGCCAAATGTGATGGACAATCAGGGTTTGTGGGTCGACACCAGCCTCGATTGTTTTGTTTCCGTCTCGATATTGGATTCTCGGATACGAACTACATTCGGACCCCATTGGAACGAATTTGAATGAGTTTTCGGGAAGTGACATGCACGGCCATGCTTCGACTAGATCAACCGAAGATGCACTGGCGAACACGTATGGATGACCCGTTAATGGACGAACTGCTAAAGTTGGGTTTGCCAAAAATGTTGTGCGTTGAGCGACGATTTGGGTTCTCCATGTGTTGCATGCTAGACGGAAGGCTTTTGTAAATGCGAATTTTGTGGCTTCACGAATGTGCACCTCAACTGCTGACAGCGATGCTGCCAACGCTTCCGGACTGATGAATTGGGCGGTTCTGAAAACGTCAACATCATATGCGTTGTCCACTTTTTCTTTGAGTAACGTTTGTTTCTCATTTCTCTTGTTTCGAATAGCTCTTTCTTTGTCTTGGCGAGCCTGCTTGATAATTTCTGGATCAGCTAGCTGGTGTTCTAGGACTGCTAGGCCTTGGTGGGTAACGATCATGAGATATTTTTCACAATTATAAGTCGAATTATATGACCGATCCCAACTCAATGCGATTTCCCCTGATTCGTCTAAAAATGTTGGTCCGGTCTGGTGTCCGTTGACCGTCATGGCCTCGATGAATGCGCATTTTTGTTCAAAAGAAGGTGTCCAAACTAATGTCGCGCCATCGCGCAATGCGCAACTACCATGATCGTAATTGCATCCGTGCATATCTCCTGCCGGACTGAAAATCGCTGTGGATCCGAATGCCGCGTGAATCGATGAATATGTCAAGTAACAATTTGTGATAACGATAGTGTTGTTACTGCAGCATGCAAACGGATTACTAGGATGAGTGTATTCGAATTTGTTTTGAGTTGCCCATTTGCCCTCGACTTCGGACATCAGCCCGTGGCTGCATCTCTTGTTCATCTCCATCATTCGGCATTCTTCCGTCGATACTGGCATATCAGTGGCTTCATAATGCTCATATTCTCCTCCGAAGAATCCTCTGTAGAAGTATGCGATTGATTTTACGATGCGACAATAGCTTGCCGCCTGTTCATACCGCTCGACGTTTGGTTTCCAAATAGAGATCCGGATTGCGGTGGGTTCGTCTTCGGGCTCGACTTCAAGACTTGGACATTCTAGAGTCCGATTCAATGACAGAAAATAGCGGGCGTTCGTGGTCTGACAAATCATCGGCATCTCGGCCTGACCGGAGTGCGCTCCGACTATCGGGATAAGTATCAACGTGATCATCGCAATTGTGGCCCACCCTAGTTTTCTGATGCGGTTTATCCGAAACGGGGGCGAATTGTTGTTGTCTGTTTCTCCGCACAGCATGGACGCTAATTGTCTGTTTCTCGACTGAATGTTTTCCATTTGAGCTGACACCTCGTCCAAGACTGTTTCCGTTTCATTTCGTGTCTGATTCAGCGTGGCAATTCGACCTTGTCCTTGGTACCAATTGTTATCCGACTGACGATTGTTTGGTGCCCGAGGTGATGGGTTCCTCCATTCGTGGCGGCGATCTTCGTAATCTGGGAATCTGTCGCTTCTTTGGTTATAATCTTGAGGTAGGTTGTCGAAGTGTTCCTGTCTAGACCAGCATTCTCTGCTTATGTGGCCTCTTTTTCCGCAGTTATAACAATTGATTCCGTCTCGATTCCTTCGTTGAAAGTCGCGTTGTGATAGGTGCAAAAATGGTTGAACCGGGCGCGTGAGAGGCTGTGTTGGGTGTTGCTGGCCATCTACTTGGGCTAGGCGCAGAATTTCTGGTCGGGTAGATTGGGAAGGTAGCACGCTTTCCAGGGTACGCGCTCTTTGAACCGCTTGTTCCAAAGACTCAATTCCTTGGGCGATCAACTGTAGCGATATATCTGGCCGCACTCTGTCAATAAATTCTTGTGCTATTCTCTTTTCGATTTCGCCTCGTGACGTGGAAGCGTCGACCACATTTTGAATGATCCGTGTCAGGCGATCAACAAAATCGAGCACGCTTTCTGTTGGCCTCTGTTTGCAATCTTTCAATTGTGACCGAGCGACCATAGTTTGTGCGCTGGTTGTGAACTTCGCCGCCATGAACGCGCAAGTATCTGCGTATGAAGTGTCGCGGCTGAGCGTCTGCAGGAATGCCTCTGCTGGTCCTTCAACGTAAAATCTCAAGAAGCGTGCCTTGTCTGCGTCTGTTGCTGCGGGAGTACTAGCGGTGACGTAATCCTCGTACATTGGGAGCCATTGAGACCAAGATGTTTTTCCTGAAAATTTGGCTAGCGTTATGGATCTAAGCATCAAAACCCTTGGTGTTGCCATTGTATTCGACGGAGAACTATCGATGATGAAATTCTTCGATTCGGATTTGACGTAGGGGGAGATGGCTGACATGGTGGGAGAATACACGAAAAAATAAATTTTGATTCACCGTTGACTCGAGGTCGGGTCACCAGTAATTACAGAGAACAACAATGACTGCGATTTTTTGAAAAATAGTGTTGATTCACTAACTTCCTGATGCCAGGCTGAGAGTGATTTGGATTTGGGGTTACAACGGACGACTATGAAACGAACTGACAAGTTAAATTTTGGAGAGGATGAGTTTCTCGATGCTTGTGGTCAACTTGGGGGAAGACAACACAATGTAAAACCAAAACTACCGGGCAGTGCTTGTGTGTGGAGTTGATGTTGATTGTCTTTGGGCGGCGAAATCGCTAGAATTACCTGTAAGTATTAAGTTGGATTAATTATAATCGGCATTAGTTGTGGGCCTTAGTCAAGCACCTCACGTCGTACACGGGACCGAAAGACCGAAGCTCAAAAGGGGAAGAGAAGAAAAAAAAAGAAAGAAGAAAAAAAAATATAGTGGTCTCAGCCCACAAGTGGGGACCGCGAGCAGTCCTCGTTTCATTTAGTCAACTGATATCGACTGCTCATAATCTCCTTCTATATATGTGGTGCCTTCTTTATGGCTCCTTATGGCTTCGCCCATATTGTTTGTCACCAAATTCCTTTCGTTGATAAGGTTGCCCCCCGGCACATATTTTGTTTACTTGGTCCTGTTATCTCGCCGATGGGGTCGTATAATATGTTGCCATATACCGATATAATTGTTTATGGCCTCTAGGACAATGATATTGGCTCCGTTTACAATCGTTTATCACGAAGTCTTTCGATTTTTGATTACGCTTCTGTGCACTCGTATACAATCGCACGGTTGTAAATACCTGATACAACGACCAAACTTCGTTTTTCCCGGACTTACCGTGATGGTCTGATTGCTCTCGTGATGTGGTTTTTAGTAGTCGTCACGATTCCGAAAATCGATTTTTGATCTGAAAAACAACGAAACCGGACCGGTTTTGTAGGATTTTGTTCCATATTTTGGTAGAATGCACATCTCATGTGAAATGTGCGTTCCTTTGCAATTCGGTCAAAATTGCCTTGACATTCACCATCGTCATGGTTGCGGGAGCTGATTCTCCCATTTCGCGATCTCAAATTTGTCGACTCTCCATTTTCCCGGTTTCTCATTTCATTCTCGATTCTTCCATACTCTCTTCCATAATTTTCGCATTCATTACTCATTTTCACTCATATTTTCGCATTCGTTACTCTTTTTCACTAATTTTTTTGCATTCATTTTCAGTATCACTCAATTTTCCTCATAATTCGCTCTGTATCATTTTCTCAATATTATCTTCCTCTCACTATATTCTCGATTATTCTTCTTCATTCGTCTTTTTCATTTTCTGGCTCTCATTCTCAATTCTCATTTTGCATTATACAGCTGTCTCTACTCTACTTACTAAACTATAAATATAAAAGTAAACTAATAATCTACACCAGAAGCTTCTGTTAAAAAAAATTGGAGACTTGATGCATGGTATACCTCAGATGAGATCCACCGTGCTTATTTCCAACTTACCAAGGCGTGCACTCCTTGACAAGAGGTGGTCGGGGTCGGCACTCGCTGCTACCAATGTAACTGCTAGACCGGTTCATATAATATAATAAGTTTATTAATACATAAATAGCAAGTTACGGATACGATACAAATTAGGGTGTCGACATCTGACCTGGTCCTACGCGTCCCCTCATAGAACTCCCTTATCAGTCTCTCGGTGAAGTTTATATAGTGAAGTCTTATCGCACGTTACACTACCCGCTTGACTCTTGTTAGCTACCCGCTTGATTCGAGTCGATTCGAACCGATTCGAACCGATTCGAGTCGATTCGAGTCGATTCGAGTCGATTCGAACCGATTCGAGTCGATTCGAACCGATTCGAACCGATTCGAACCGATTCGAGTCGATTCGAACCGATTCGAGTCGATTCGATTCCCTTCCCTCCATTTTTTTTAAATTTTTAATAAAAATATGGAATGAAAAATTGGGGTTTTCGCCTTCACAGTTACTTCTGGGTGGTTACTAAGCCTAAGCCTTTTTTAACAGTGTTAAAAATTTTCTTTCAATTTTTTTAGCTTTAAAGTTGCTTCTGGGTGGCTTACTAAGCTTTTTTTACATTTTTGGATTTGTCCAAATCTGTAACTTTTTTTTAAAAAAATTTTTGTTAGCTACCCGCTTGACTCTTGTTAGCTACCCGCTTGATTCGAACCGATTCGAACCGATTCGAGTCGATTCGAGTCGATTCGAACCGATTCGAGTCGATTCGAACCGATTCGAACCGATTCGAACCGATTCGAGTCGATTCGAACCGATTCGAACCGATTCGAACCGATTCGAGTCGATTCGAACCGATTCGAGTCGATTCGAACCGATTCGAGTCGATTCGAACCGATTCGAAAAAAATTTTTGTTAGCTACCCGCTTGACTCTTGTTAGCTACCCGCTTGATTCGAGTCGATTCGAACCGATTCGAACCGATTCGAGTCGATTCGAGTCGATTCGAGTCGATTCGAACCGATTCGAGTCGATTCGAACCGATTCGAACCGATTCGAACCGATTCGAGTCGATTCGAACCGATTCGAGTCGATTCGAACCGATTCGAGTCGATTCGATTCCCTTCCCTCCATTTTTTAAATTTTTAATAAAAATATGGAATGAAAAATTGGGGTTTTCGCCTTCACAGTTACTTCTGGGTGGTTACTAAGCCTAAGCCTTTTTTAACAGTGTTAAAAATTTTCTTTCAATTTTTTTAGCTTTAAAGTTGCTTCTGGAAGGCTTACTAAGCTTTTTTTACATTTTTGGATTTGTCCAAATCTGTAACTTTTTTTTAAAAAAATTTTTGTTAGCTACCCGCTTGACTCTTGTTAGCTACCCGCTTGATTCGAACCGATTCGAACCGATTCGAGTCGATTCGAGTCGATTCGAACCGATTCGAGTCGATTCGAACCGATTCGAACCGATTCGAACCGATTCGAGTCGATTCGAACCGATTCGAACCGATTCGAACCGATTCGAGTCGATTCGAACCGATTCGAGTCGATTCGAACCGATTCGAGTCGATTCGAACCGATTCGAAAAAATTTTTGTTAGCTACCCGCTTGACTCTTGTTAGCTACCCGCTTGATTCGAGTCGATTCGAACCGATTCGAACCGATTCGAGTCGATTCGAGTCGATTCGAGTCGATTCGAACCGATTCGAGTCGATTCGAACCGATTCGAACCGATTCGAACCGATTCGAGTCGATTCGAACCGATTCGAGTCGATTCGAACCGATTCGAGTCGATTCGATTCCCTTCCCTCCATTTTTTTTAAATTTTTAATAAAAATATGGAATGAAAAATTGGGGTTTTCGCCTTCACAGTTACTTCTGGGTGGTTACTAAGCCTAAGCCTTTTTTAACAGTGTTAAAAATTTTCTTTCAATTTTTTTAGCTTTAAAGTTGCTTCTGGGTGGCTTACTAAGCTTTTTTTACATTTTTGGATTTGTCCAAATCTGTAACTTTTTTAAAAAAATTTTTGTTAGCTACCCGCTTGACTCTTGTTAGCTACCCGCTTGATTCGAGTCGATTCGAACCGATTCGAACCGATTCGAGTCGATTCGAGTCGATTCGAGTCGATTCGAACCGATTCGAGTCGATTCGAACCGATTCGAGTCGATTCGAACCGATTCGAACCGATTCGAACCGATTCGAGTCGATTCGAACCGATTCGAGTCGATTCGAACCGATTCGAGTCGATTCGATTCCCTTCCCTCCATTTTTTTTAAATTTTTAATAAAAATATGGAATGAAAAATTGGGGTTTTCGCCTTCACAGTTACTTCTGGGTGGTTACTAAGCCTAAGCCTTTTTTAACAGTGTTAAAAATTTTCTTTCAATTTTTTTAGCTTTAAAGTTGCTTCTGGGTGGCTTACTAAGCTTTTTTTACATTTTTGGATTTGTCCAAATCTGTAACTTTTTTTTAAAAAAATTTCTGTTAGCTACCCGCTTGACTCTTGTTAGCTACCCGCTTGATTCGAACCGATTCGAACCGATTCGAGTCGATTCGAGTCGATTCGAACCGATTCGAGTCGATTCGAACCGATTCGAACCGATTCGAACCGATTCGAGTCGATTCGAACCGATTCGAACCGATTCGAAAAAAATTTTTGTTAGCTACCCGCTTGACTCTTGTTAGCTACCCGCTTCGATTCGATCCGATTCGAGTCGATTCGAGTCGATTCGAACCGATTCGAGTCGATTCGAACCGATTCGAACCGATTCGAGTCGATTCGAACCGATTCGAACCGATTCGAACCGATTCGAACCGATTCGAAAAAATTTTTGTTAGCTACCCGCTTGACTCTTGTTAGCTACCCGCTTCGATTCGATCCGATTCGAGTCGATTCGAGTCGATTCGAACCGATTCGAGTCGATTCGAACCGATTCGAACCGATTCGAGTCGATTCGAACCGATTCGAGTCGATTCGATTCCCTTCCCTCCATTTTTTTAAATTTTTAATAAAAATCTGGAATGAAAAATTGGGGTTTTCGCCTTCACAGTTACTTCTGGGTGGTTACTAAGCCTAAGCCTTTTTTAACAGTGTTAAAAATTTTCTTTCAATTTTTTTAGCTTTAAAGTTGCTTCTGGGTGGCTTACTAAGCTTTTTTTACATTTTTGGATTTGTCCAAATCTGTAACTTTTTTTTAAAAAAATTTTTGTTAGCTACCCGCTTGACTCTTGTTAGCTACCCGCTTGATTCGAACCGATTCGAACCGATTCGAGTCGATTCGAGTCGATTCGAACCGATTCGAGTCGATTCGAACCGATTCGAACCGATTCGAACCGATTCGAGTCGATTCGAACCGATTCGAACCGATTCGAACCGATTCGAGTCGATTCGAACCGATTCGAAAAAAAATTTTTGTTAGCTACCCGCTTGATTCGATCCGATTCGAGTCGATTCGAACCGATTCGAGTCGATTCGAACCGATTCGAACCGATTCGAGTCGATTCGAACCGATTCGAGTCGATTCGAACCGATTCGAACCGATTCGAGTCGATTCGAACCGATTCGAAAAAAATTTTTGTTAGCTACCCGCTTGACTCTTGTTAGCTACCCGCTTGATTCGAGTCGATTCGAACCGATTCGAACCGATTCGAGTCGATTCGAGTCGATTCGAGTCGATTCGAACCGATTCGAGTCGATTCGAACCGATTCGAACCGATTCGAACCGATTCGAGTCGATTCGAACCGATTCGAGTCGATTCGAACCGATTCGAGTCGATTCGATTCCCTTCCCTCCATTTTTTTTAAATTTTTAATAAAAATATGGAATGAAAAATTGGGGTTTTCGCCTTCACAGTTACTTCTGGGTGGTTACTAAGCCTAAGCCTTTTTTAACAGTGTTAAAAATTTTCTTTCAATTTTTTTAGCTTTAAAGTTGCTTCTGGGTGGCTTACTAAGCTTTTTTTACATTTTTGGATTTGTCCAAATCTGTAACTTTTTTTAAAAAAATTTTTGTTAGCTACCCGCTTGACTCTTGTTAGCTACCCGCTTGATTCGAGTCGATTCGAACCGATTCGAACCGATTCGAGTCGATTCGAGTCGATTCGAGTCGATTCGAACCGATTCGAGTCGATTCGAACCGATTCGAACCGATTCGAACCGATTCGAGTCGATTCGAACCGATTCGAGTCGATTCGAACCGATTCGAGTCGATTCGATTCCCTTCCCTCCATTTTTTTTAAATTTTTAATAAAAATATGGAATGAAAAATTGGGGTTTTCGCCTTCACAGTTACTTCTGGGTGGTTACTAAGCCTAAGCCTTTTTTAACAGTGTTAAAAATTTTCTTTCAATTTTTTTAGCTTTAAAGTTGCTTCTGGGTGGCTTACTAAGCTTTTTTTACATTTTTGGATTTGTCCAAATCTGTAACTTTTTTAAAAAAATTTTTGTTAGCTACCCGCTTGACTCTTGTTAGCTACCCGCTTGATTCGAACCGATTCGAACCGATTCGAGTCGATTCGAGTCGATTCGAACCGATTCGAGTCGATTCGAACCGATTCGAACCGATTCGAACCGATTCGAGTCGATTCGAACCGATTCGAACCGATTCGAGGCATTTTTTTTAATTTTTCTGGGTGGTTATTCGAGTCTTGTTAGCTACCCGCTTCGATTCGATCCGATTCGAGTCGATTCGAGTCGATTCGAACCGATTCGAGTCGATTCGAACCGATTCGAACCGATTCGAGTCGATTCGAACCGATTCGAACCGATTCGAACCGATTCGAACCGATTCGAAAAAAATTTTTGTTAGCTACCCGCTTCGAGTCTTGTTAGCTACCCGAGTCGATTCGATCCGATTCGAGTCGATTCGAGTCGATTCGAACCGATTCGAGTCGATTCGAGCCGATTCGAACCGATTCGAGTCGATTCGAACCGATTCGAGTCGATTCGATTCGATTCCCTCCATTTTTTTAAATTTTTAATAAAAATCTGGAATGAAAAATTGGGGTTTTCGCCTTCACAGTTACTTCTGGGTGGTTACTAAGCCTAAGCCTTTTTTAACAGTGTTAAAAATTTTCTTTCAATTTTTTTAGCTTTAAAGTTGCTTCTGGGTGGCTTACTAAGCTTTTTTTACATTTTTGGATTTGTCCAAATCTGTAACTTTTTTAAAAAAATTTTTGTTAGCTACCCGCTTGACTCTTGTTAGCTACCCGCTTGATTCGAACCGATTCGAACCGATTCGAGTCGATTCGAGTCGATTCGAACCGATTCGAGTCGATTCGAACCGATTCGAACCGATTCGAACCGATTCGAGTCGATTCGAACCGATTCGAACCGATTCGAACCGATTCGAGTCGATTCGAACCGATTCGAAAAAAATTTTTCTGGGTGGTTATTCGAGTCTGGGTGGTTATTCGAGTCGATTCGAGTCGATTCGAGTCGATTCGAGTCGATTCGAGTCGATTCGAACCGATTCGAACCGATTCGAGCCGATTCGAGTCGATTCGAGCCGATTCGAATCGATTCGAATCGATTCGAATCGATTCGAATCGATTCGAGGCATTTTTTTTTAATTTTTCTGGGTGGTTATTCGAGTCGATTCGATCCGATTCGAGTCGATTCGAGTCGATTCGAGTCGATTCGAGCCGATTCGAGTCGATTCGATCCGATTCGAGTCTATTCGAGTCGATTCGAGTCGATTCGAGTCGATTCGAGCCGATTCGAGCCGATTCGAGTCGATTCGAGCCGATTCGAATCGATTCGAATCGATTCGAATCGATTCGAATCGATTCGAGGCATTTTTTTAATTTTTCTGGGTGGTTATTCGAGTCTGGGTGGTTATTCGAGTCGATTCGATCCGATTCGAGTCGATTCGAGTCGATTCGAGTCGATTCGAGTCGATTCGAGCCGATTCGAGCCGATTCGAGTCGATTCGAGCCGATTCGAATCGATTCGAATCGATTCGAATCGATTCGAATCGATTCGAGGCATTTTTTTTTAATTTTTCTGGGTGGTTATTCGAGTCTGGGTGGTTATTCGAGTCGATTCGATCCGATTCGAGTCGATTCGAGTCGATTCGAGTCGATTCGAGTCGATTCGAGCCGATTCGAGCCGATTCGAGTCGATTCGAGCCGATTCGAATCGATTCGAATCGATTCGAGGCATTTTGGATCGATTCGAATCGATTCGAATCGATTCGAATCGATTCGAATCGATTCGAGGCATTTTTTTTTAATTTTTCTGGGTGGTTATTCGAGTCGATTCGATCCGATTCGAGTCTATTCGAGTCGATTCGAGTCGATTCGAGTCGATTCGAGCCGATTCGAGCCGATTCGAGTCGATTCGAGCCGATTCGAATCGATTCGAATCGATTCGAATCGATTCGAATCGATTCGAGGCATTTTTTTAATTTTTCTGGGTGGTTATTCGAGTCTGGGTGGTTATTCGAGTCGATTCGATCCGATTCGAGTCGATTCGAGTCGATTCGAGTCGATTCGAGTCGATTCGAGCCGATTCGAGCCGATTCGAGTCGATTCGAGCCGATTCGAATCGATTCGAATCGATTCGAATCGATTCGAATCGATTCGAGGCATTTTTTAATTTTTCTGGGTGGTTATTCGAGTCTGGGTGGTTATTCGAGTCGATTCGATCCGATTCGAGTCGATTCGAGTCGATTCGAGCCGATTCGAGCCGATTCGAGTCGATTCGAGCCGATTCGAATCGATTCGAATCGATTCGAATCGATTCGAATCGATTCGAGGCATTTTTTTAATTTTTCTGGGTGGTTATTCGAGTCTGGGTGGTTATTCGAGTCGATTCGATCCGATTCGAGTCGATTCGAGTCGATTCGAGTCGATTCGAGTCGATTCGAGCCGATTCGAGCCGATTCGAGTCGATTCGAGCCGATTCGAATCGATTCGAATCGATTCGAATCGATTCGAGGCATTTTTTTTTAATTTTTCTGGGTGGTTATTCGAGTCTGGGTGGTTATTCGAGTCGATTCGATCCGATTCGAGTCGATTCGAGTCGATTCGAGTCGATTCGAGTCGATTCGAGCCGATTCGAGCCGATTCGAGTCGATTCGAGCCGATTCGAATCGATTCGAATCGATTCGAATCGATTCGAATCGATTCGAATCGATTCGAGGCATTTTTTTAATTTTTCTGGGTGGTTATTCGAGTCTGGGTGGTTATTCGAGTCGATTCGATCCGATTCGAGTCGATTCGAGTCGATTCGAGTCGATTCGAGTCGATTCGAGTCGATTCGAGTCGATTCGAGCCGATTCGAGCCGATTCGAGTCGATTCGAGCCGATTCGAATCGATTCGAATCGATTCGAATCGATTCGAATCGATTCGAGGCATTTTTTTAATTTTTCTGGGTGGTTATTCGAGTCTGGGTGGTTATTCGAGTCGATTCGATCCGATTCGAGTCGATTCGAGTCGATTCGAGTCGATTCGAGTCGATTCGAGTCGATTCGAGGCATTTTTTTTTAATTTTTCTGGGTGGTTATTCGAGTCTGGGTGGTTATTCGAGTCGATTCGATCCGATTCGAGTCGATTCGAGTCGATTCGAGTCGATTCGAGCCGATTCGAATCGATTCGAATCGATTCGAATCGATTCGAATCGATTCGAGGCATTTTTTTAATTTTTCTGGGTGGTTATTCGAGTCTGGGTGGTTATTCGAGTCGATTCGATCCGATTCGAGTCGATTCGAGTCGATTCGAGTCGATTCGAGTCGATTCGAGCCGATTCGAGCCGATTCGAGTCGATTCGAGCCGATTCGAATCGATTCGAATCGATTCGAATCGATTCGAATCGATTCGAGGCATTTTTTTAATTTTTCTGGGTGGTTATTCGAGTCTGGGTGGTTATTCGAGTCGATTCGATCCGATTCGAGTCGATTCGAGTCGATTCGAGTCGATTCGAGTCGATTCGAGCCGATTCGAGCCGATTCGAGTCGATTCGAGCCGATTCGAATCGATTCGAATCGATTCGAATCGATTCGAATCGATTCGAGGCATTTTTTTAATTTTTCTGGGTGGTTATTCGTGTCTGGGTGGTTATTCGAGTCGATTCGATCCGATTCGAGTCGATTCGAGTCGATTCGAGTCGATTCGAATCGATTCGAGGCATTTTTTTTTAATTTTTAATGAAAATCTGGAATGAAAAATTGGGGTTTTCGCCTTCACAGTTACTTCTGGGTGGTTATTCGAGTCGATTCGATCCGATTCGAGTCGATTCGAGTCGATTCGAGTCGATTCGAGTCGATTCGAGCCGATTCGAGCCGATTCGAGTCGATTCGAGCCGATTCGAATCGATTCGAGCCGATTCGAATCGATTCGAATCGATTCGAATCGATTCGAATCGATTCGAGGCATTTTTTTTTAATTTTTCTGGGTGGTTATTCGAGTCTGGGTGGTTATTCGAGTCGATTCGATCCGATTCGAGTCGATTCGAGTCGATTCGAGTCGATTCGAGTCGATTCGAGCCGATTCGAGTCGATTCGAGTCGATTCGAGCCGATTCGAATCGATTCGAGTCGATTCGAGTCGATTCGAGTCGATTCGAGTCGATTCGAGCCGATTCGAGCCGATTCGAGTCGATTCGAGCCGATTCGAATCGATTCGAATCGATTCGAATCGATTCGAATCGATTCGAGGCATTTTTTTTAATTTTTCTGGGTGGTTATTCGAGTCTGGGTGGTTATTCGAGTCGATTCGATCCGATTCGAGTCGATTCGAGTCGATTCGAGTCGATTCGAGTCGATTCGAGCCGATTCGAGCCGATTCGAGTCGATTCGAGTCGATTCGAGTCGATTCGAGTCGATTCGAGTCGATTCGAGTCGATTCGAGCCGATTCGAGCCGATTCGAGTCGATTCGAGCCGATTCGAATCGATTCGAATCGATTCGAATCGATTCGAATCGATTCGAGGCATTTTTTTAATTTTTCTGGGTGGTTATTCGAGTCTGGGTGGTTATTCGAGTCGATTCGATCCGATTCGAGTCGATTCGAGTCGATTCGAGTCGATTCGAGTCGATTCGAGTCGATTCGAGGCATTTTTTTTTAATTTTTCTGGGTGGTTATTCGAGTCTGGGTGGTTATTCGAGTCGATTCGATCCGATTCGAGTCGATTCGAGTCGATTCGAGTCGATTCGAGCCGATTCGAATCGATTCGAATCGATTCGAATCGATTCGAATCGATTCGAGGCATTTTTTTAATTTTTCTGGGTGGTTATTCGAGTCTGGGTGGTTATTCGAGTCGATTCGATCCGATTCGAGTCGATTCGAGTCGATTCGAGTCGATTCGAGTCGATTCGAGTCGATTCGAGCCGATTCGAGTCGATTCGAGCCGATTCGAATCGATTCGAATCGATTCGAATCGATTCGAATCGATTCGAGGCATTTTTTTAATTTTTCTGGGTGGTTATTCGAGTCTGGGTGGTTATTCGAGTCGATTCGATCCGATTCGAGTCGATTCGAGTCGATTCGAGTCGATTCGAGTCGATTCGAGCCGATTCGAGCCGATTCGAGTCGATTCGAGCCGATTCGAATCGATTCGAATCGATTCGAATCGATTCGAATCGATTCGAGGCATTTTTTTTTAATTTTTCTGGGTGGTTATTCGAGTCTGGGTGGTTATTCGAGTCGATTCGATCCGATTCGAGTCGATTCGAGTCGATTCGAGTCGATTCGAGTCGATTCGAGCCGATTCGAGCCGATTCGAGTCGATTCGAGCCGATTCGAATCGATTCGAATCGATTCGAATCGATTCGAATCGATTCGAATCGATTCGAGGCATTTTTTTAATTTTTCTGGGTGGTTATTCGAGTCTGGGTGGTTATTCGAGTCGATTCGATCCGATTCGAGTCGATTCGAGTCGATTCGAGTCGATTCGAGTCGATTCGAGCCGATTCGAGCCGATTCGAGTCGATTCGAGCCGATTCGAATCGATTCGAATCGATTCGAATCGATTCGAATCGATTCGAGGCATTTTTTTAATTTTTCTGGGTGGTTATTCGAGTCTGGGTGGTTATTCGAGTCGATTCGATCCGATTCGAGTCGATTCGAGTCGATTCGAGTCGATTCGAGTCGATTCGAGCCGATTCGAGCCGATTCGAGTCGATTCGAGCCGATTCGAATCGATTCGAATCGATTCGAATCGATTCGAATCGATTCGAGGCATTTTTTTAATTTTTCTGGGTGGTTATTCGAGTCTGGGTGGTTATTCGAGTCGATTCGATCCGATTCGAGTCGATTCGAGTCGATTCGAGTCGATTCGAGTCGATTCGAGCCGATTCGAGCCGATTCGAGCCGATTCGAGCCGATTCGAATCGATTCGAATCGATTCGAGGCATTTTTTTTTAATTTTTCTGGGTGGTTATTCGAGTCTGGGTGGTTATTCGAGTCGATTCGATCCGATTCGAGTCGATTCGAGTCGATTCGAGTCGATTCGAGTCGATTCGAGCCGATTCGAGCCGATTCGAGTCGATTCGAGCCGATTCGAATCGATTCGAATCGATTCGCATTTCGAGGCATTTTAATTTTTCTGGGTGGTTATTCGAGTCTGGGTGGTTATTCGAGTCGATTCGATCCGATTCGAGTCGATTCGAGTCGATTCGAGTCGATTCGAGTCGATTCGAGCCGATTCGAGCCGATTCGAGCCGATTCGAGCCGATTCGAGCCGATTCGAATCGATTCGAATCGATTCGAATCGATTCGAGGCATTTTTTTTTAATTTTTCTGGGTGGTTATTCGAGTCTGGGTGGTTATTCGAGTCGATTCGATCCGATTCGAGTCGATTCGAGTCGATTCGAGTCGATTCGAGTCGATTCGAGCCGATTCGAGCCGATTCGAGCCGATTCGAGCCGATTCGAGCCGATTCGAGCCGATTCGAATCGATTCGAATCGATTCGAATCGATTCGAGGCATTTTTTTTTAATTTTTAATGAAAATCTGGAATGAAAAATTGGGGTTTTCGCCTTCACAGTTACTTCTGGGTGGTTATTCGAGTCGATTCGATCCGATTCGAGTCGATTCGAGTCGATTCGAGTCGATTCGAGTCGATTCGAGCCGATTCGAGCCGATTCGAGTCGATTCGAGCCGATTCGAATCGATTCGAGCCGATTCGAACCGATTCGAATCGATTCGAATCGATTCGAATCGATTCGAATCGATTCGAGGCATTTTTTTTAATTTTTCTGGGTGGTTATTCGAGTCTGGGTGGTTATTCGAGTCGATTCGATCGATTCGAGTCGATTCGAGTCGATTCGAGTGGTTATTCGAGTCGATTCGATCCGATTCGAGTCGATTCGAGTCGATTCGAGTCGATTCGAGTCGATTCGAGTCGATTCGAGTCGATTCGAGCCGATTCGAGCCGATTCGAGTCGATTCGAGCCGATTCGAATCGATTCGAATCGATTCGAATCGATTCGAATCGATTCGAATCGATTCGAATCGATTCGAGGCATTTTTTTAATTTTTCTGGGTGGTTATTCGAGTCTGGGTGGTTATTCGAGTCGATTCGATCCGATTCGAGTCGATTCGAGTCGATTCGAGTCGATTCGAGTCGATTCGAGCCGATTCGAGTCGATTCGAGCCGATTCGAATCGATTCGAATCGATTCGAATCGATTCGAATCGATTCGAGGCATTTTTTTAATTTTTCTGGGTGGTTATTCGAGTCTGGGTGGTTATTCGAGTCGATTCGATCCGATTCGAGTCGATTCGAGTCGATTCGAGTCGATTCGAGCCGATTCGAGTCGATTCGAGCCGATTCGAATCGATTCGAATCGATTCGAATCGATTCGAATCGATTCGAGGCATTTTTTTTTAATTTTTCTGGGTGGTTATTCGAGTCTGGGTGGTTATTCGAGTCGATTCGATCCGATTCGAGTCGATTCGAGTCGATTCGAGTCGATTCGAGTCGATTCGAGCCGATTCGAGCCGATTCGAGTCGATTCGAGCCGATTCGAATCGATTCGAATCGATTCGAATCGATTCGAATCGATTCGAGGCATTTTTTTAATTTTTCTGGGTGGTTATTCGAGTCTGGGTGGTTATTCGAGTCGATTCGATCCGATTCGAGTCGATTCGAGTCGATTCGAGTCGATTCGAGTCGATTCGAGTCGATTCGAGCCGATTCGAGTCGATTCGAATCGATTCGAATCGATTCGAATCGATTCGAATCGATTCGAATCGATTCGAGGCATTTTTTAATTTTTCTGGGTGGTTATTCGAGTCTGGGTGGTTATTCGAGTCGATTCGATCCGATTCGAGTCGATTCGAGTCGATTCGAGTCGATTCGAGTCGATTCGAGCCGATTCGAATCGATTCGAATCGATTCGAATCGATTCGAGGAGGCATTTTTTTAATTTTTCTGGGTGGTTATTCGAGTCTGGGTGGTTATTCGAGTCGATTCGATCCGATTCGAGTCGATTCGAGTCGATTCGAGTCGATTCGAGTCGATTCGAGCCGATTCGAGCCGATTCGAGTCGATTCGAGCCGATTCGAATCGATTCGAATCGATTCGAATCGATTCGAATCGATTCGAGGCATTTTTTTAATTTTTCTGGGTGGTTATTCGAGTCTGGGTGGTTATTCGAGTCGATTCGATCCGATTCGAGTCGATTCGAGTCGATTCGAGTCGATTCGAGTCGATTCGAGCCGATTCGAGCCGATTCGAGTCGATTCGAGCCGATTCGAATCGATTCGAATCGATTCGAATCGATTCGAATCGATTCGAGGCATTTTTTTAATTTTTCTGGGTGGTTATTCGAGTCTGGGTGGTTATTCGAGTCGATTCGATCCGATTCGAGTCGATTCGAGTCGATTCGAGCCGATTCGAGCCGATTCGAGTCGATTCGAGCCGATTCGAATCGATTCGAATCGATTCGAATCGATTCGAATCGATTCGAGGCATTTTTTTAAATTTTTCTGGGTGGTTATTCGAGTCTGGGTGGTTATTCGAGTCGATTCGATCCGATTCGAGTCGATTCGAGTCGATTCGAGTCGATTCGAGTCGATTCGAGCCGATTCGAGCCGATTCGAGTCGATTCGAGCCGATTCGAATCGATTCGAATCGATTCGAATCGATTCGAATCGATTCGAGGCATTTTTTTTTAATTTTTCTGGGTGGTTATTCGAGTCTGGGTGGTTATTCGAGTCGATTCGATCCGATTCGAGTCGATTCGAGTCGATTCGAGTCGATTCGAGTCGATTCGAGCCGATTCGAGCCGATTCGAGTCGATTCGAGCCGATTCGAATCGATTCGAATCGATTCGAATCGATTCGAATCGATTCGAGGCATTTTTTAATTTTTCTGGGTGGTTATTCGAGTCTGGGTGGTTATTCGAGTCGATTCGATCCGATTCGAGTCGATTCGAGTCGATTCGAGTCGATTCGAGTCGATTCGAGCCGATTCGAGCCGATTCGAGTCGATTCGAGCCGATTCGAATCGATTCGAATCGATTCGAATCGATTCGAATCGATTCGAGGCATTTTTTTTTAATTTTTCTGGGTGGTTATTCGAGTCTGGGTGGTTATTCGAGTCGATTCGATCCGATTCGAGTCGATTCGAGTCGATTCGAGTCGATTCGAGTCGATTCGAGCCGATTCGAGCCGATTCGAGTCGATTCGAGCCGATTCGAATCGATTCGAATCGATTCGAATCGATTCGAGGCATTTTTTTAATTTTTCTGGGTGGTTATTCGAGTCTGGGTGGTTATTCGAGTCGATTCGATCCGATTCGAGTCGAGTCGATTCGAGTCGATTCGAGTCGATTCGAGTCCGATTCGAGCCGATTCGAGTCGATTCGAGCCGATTCGAATCGATTCGAATCGATTCGAATCGATTCGAATCGATTCGAGATTCGAGGCATTTTTTTAATTTTTCTGGGTGGTTATTCGAGTCTGGGTGGTTATTCGAGTCGATTCGATCCGATTCGAGTCGATTCGAGTCGATTCGAGTCGATTCGAGTCGATTCGAGCCGATTCGAGCCGATTCGAGTCGATTCGAGCCGATTCGAATCGATTCGAATCGATTCGAATCGATTCGAATCGATTCGAATCGATTCGAATCGATTCGAGGCATTTTTTTTAATTTTTCTGGGTGGTTATTCGAGTCTGGGTGGTTATTCGAGTCGATTCGATCCGATTCGAGTCGATTCGAGTCGATTCGAGTCGATTCGAGTCGATTCGAGCCGATTCGAGCCGATTCGAGTCGATTCGAGCCGATTCGAATCGATTCGAGGCATTTTTTTTTAATTTTTCTGGGTGGTTATTCGAGTCTGGGTGGTTATTCGAGTCGATTCGATCCGATTCGAGTCGATTCGAGTCGATTCGAGTCGATTCGAGTCGATTCGAGCCGATTCGAGCCGATTCGAGTCGATTCGAGCCGATTCGAATCGATTCGAATCGATTCGAATCGATTCGAATCGATTCGAGGCATTTTTTTAATTTTTCTGGGTGGTTATTCGAGTCTGGGTGGTTATTCGAGTCGATTCGATCCGATTCGAGTCGATTCGAGTCGATTCGAGTCGATTCGAGCCGATTCGAGTCGATTCGAGCCGATTCGAGTCCGATTCGAGTCGATTCGAGTCGATTCGAGCCGATTCGAGCCGATTCGAGTCGATTCGAGCCGATTCGAATCGATTCGAATCGATTCGAATCGATTCGAATCGATTCGAATCGATTCGAGGCATTTTTTTAATTTTTCTGGGTGGTTATTCGAGTCTGGGTGGTTATTCGAGTCGATTCGATCCGATTCGAGTCGATTCGAGTCGATTCGAGTCGATTCGAGTCGATTCGAGCCGATTCGAGCCGATTCGAGTCGATTCGAGCCGATTCGAATCGATTCGAATCGATTCGAATCGATTCGAATCGATTCGAGGCATTTTTTTAATTTTTCTGGGTGGTTATTCGAGTCTGGGTGGTTATTCGAGTCGATTCGATCCGATTCGAGTCGATTCGAGTCGATTCGAGTCGATTCGAGTCGATTCGAGCCGATTCGAGCCGATTCGAGTCGATTCGAGCCGATTCGAATCGATTCGAATCGATTCGAATCGATTCGAATCGATTCGAGGCATTTTTTTAATTTTTCTGGGTGGTTATTCGAGTCTGGGTGGTTATTCGAGTCGATTCGATCCGATTCGAGTCGATTCGAGTCGATTCGAGTCGATTCGAGTCGATTCGAGTCGATTCGAGCCGATTCGAGTCGATTCGAGTCGATTCGAGTCGATTCGAGCCGATTCGAGCCGATTCGAGTCGATTCGAGCCGATTCGAATCGATTCGAATCGATTCGAATCGATTCGAATCGATTCGAATCGATTCGAGGCATTTTTTTTTAATTTTTCTGGGTGGTTATTCGAGTCTGGGTGGTTATTCGAGTCGATTCGATCCGATTCGAGTCGATTCGAGTCGATTCGAGTCGATTCGAGTCGATTCGAGCCGATTCGAGCCGATTCGAGTCGATTCGAGCCGATTCGAATCGATTCGAATCGATTCGAATCGATTCGAATCGATTCGAGGCATTTTTTTAATTTTTCTGGGTGGTTATTCGAGTCTGGGTGGTTATTCGAGTCGATTCGATCCGATTCGAGTCGATTCGAGTCGATTCGAGTCGATTCGAGTCGATTCGAGCCGATTCGAGCCGATTCGAGTCGATTCGAGCCGATTCGAATCGATTCGAATCGATTCGAATCGATTCGAATCGATTCGAGGCATTTTTTTAATTTTTCTGGGTGGTTATTCGAGTCTGGGTGGTTATTCGAGTCGATTCGATCCGATTCGAGTCGATTCGAGTCGATTCGAGTCGATTCGAGTCGATTCGAGCCGATTCGAGCCGATTCGAGTCGATTCGAGCCGATTCGAATCGATTCGAATCGATTCGAATCGATTCGAATCGATTCGAATCGATTCGAGGCATTTTTTTAATTTTTCTGGGTGGTTATTCGAGTCTGGGTGGTTATTCGAGTCGATTCGATCCGATTCGAGTCGATTCGAGTCGATTCGAGTCGATTCGAGTCGATTCGAGCCGATTCGAGCCGATTCGAGTCGATTCGAGCCGATTCGAATCGATTCGAATCGATTCGAATCGATTCGAATCGATTCGAGGCATTTTTTTAATTTTTCTGGGTGGTTATTCGAGTCTGGGTGGTTATTCGAGTCGATTCGATCCGATTCGAGTCGATTCGAGTCGATTCGAGTCGATTCGAGTCGATTCGAGCCGATTCGAGCCGATTCGAGTCGATTCGAGCCGATTCGAATCGATTCGAATCGATTCGAATCGATTCGATCGATTCGAATCGATTCGAATCGATTCGAATCGATTCGAATCGATTCGAGGCATTTTTTTAATTTTTCTGGGTGGTTATTCGAGTCTGGGTGGTTATTCGAGTCGATTCGATCCGATTCGAGTCGATTCGAGTCGATTCGAGTCGATTCGAGTCGATTCGAGCCGATTCGAGCCGATTCGAGTCGATTCGAGCCGATTCGAATCGATTCGAATCGATTCGAATCGATTCGAATCGATTCGAGGCATTTTTTTAATTTTTCTGGGTGGTTATTCGAGTCTGGGTGGTTATTCGAGTCGATTCGATCCGATTCGAGTCGATTCGAGTCGATTCGAGTCGATTCGAGTCGATTCGAGGCATTTTTTTTTAATTTTTCTGGGTGGTTATTCGAGTCTGGGTGGTTATTCGAGTCGATTCGATCCGATTCGAGTCGATTCGAGTCGATTCGAGCCGATTCGAGCCGATTCGAGTCGATTCGAGCCGATTCGAATCGATTCGAATCGATTCGAATCGATTCGAATCGATTCGAGGCATTTTTTTAATTTTTCTGGGTGGTTATTCGAGTCTGGGTGGTTATTCGAGTCGATTCGATCCGATTCGAGTCGATTCGAGTCGATTCGAGTCGATTCGAGTCGATTCGAGCCGATTCGAGCCGATTCGAGTCGATTCGAGCCGATTCGAATCGATTCGAATCGATTCGAATCGATTCGAATCGATTCGAGGCATTTTTTTAATTTTTCTGGGTGGTTATTCGAGTCTGGGTGGTTATTCGAGTCGATTCGATCCGATTCGAGTCGATTCGAGTCGATTCGAGTCGATTCGAGTCGATTCGAGCCGATTCGAGCCGATTCGAGTCGATTCGAGCCGATTCGAATCGATTCGAATCGATTCGAATCGATTCGAATCGATTCGAATCGATTCGAGGCATTTTTTTTTAATTTTTCTGGGTGGTTATTCGAGTCTGGGTGGTTATTCGAGTCGATTCGATCCGATTCGAGTCGATTCGAGTCGATTCGAGTCGATTCGAGTCGATTCGAGCCGATTCGAGCCGATTCGAGTCGATTCGAGCCGATTCGAATCGATTCGAATCGATTCGAATCGATTCGAATCGATTCGAGGCATTTTTTTAATTTTTCTGGGTGGTTATTCGAGTCTGGGTGGTTATTCGAGTCGATTCGATCCGATTCGAGTCGATTCGAGTCGATTCGAGTCGATTCGAGTCGATTCGAGCCGATTCGAGCCGATTCGAGTCGATTCGAGCCGATTCGAATCGATTCGAATCGATTCGAATCGATTCGAATCGATTCGAGGCATTTTTTTAATTTTTCTGGGTGGTTATTCGAGTCTGGGTGGTTATTCGAGTCGATTCGATCCGATTCGAGTCGATTCGAGTCGATTCGAGTCGATTCGAGTCGATTCGAGCCGATTCGAGCCGATTCGAGTCGATTCGAGCCGATTCGAATCGATTCGAATCGATTCGAATCGATTCGAATCGATTCGAGGCATTTTTTTAATTTTTCTGGGTGGTTATTCGAGTCTGGGTGGTTATTCGAGTCGATTCGATCCGATTCGAGTCGATTCGAGTCGATTCGAGTCGATTCGAGTCGATTCGAGCCGATTCGAGCCGATTCGAGTCGATTCGAGCCGATTCGAGTCGATTCGAGCCGATTCGAATCGATTCGAATCGATTCGAATCGATTCGAATCGATTCGAGGCATTTTTTTAATTTTTCTGGGTGGTTATTCGAGTCTGGGTGGTTATTCGAGTCGATTCGATCCGATTCGAGTCGATTCGAGTCGATTCGAGTCGATTCGAGTCGATTCGAGCCGATTCGAGCCGATTCGAGTCGATTCGAGCCGATTCGAATCGATTCGAATCGATTCGAATCGATTCGAATCGATTCGAGGCATTTTTTTTAATTTTTCTGGGTGGTTATTCGAGTCTGGGTGGTTATTCGAGTCGATTCGATCCGATTCGAGTCGATTCGAGTCGATTCGAGTCGATTCGAGTCGATTCGAGCCGATTCGAGCCGATTCGAGTCGATTCGAGCCGATTCGAATCGATTCGAATCGATTCGAATCGATTCGAATCGATTCGAGGCATTTTTTTAATTTTTCTGGGTGGTTATTCGAGTCTGGGTGGTTATTCGAGTCGATTCGATCCGATTCGAGTCGATTCGAGTCGATTCGAGTCGATTCGAGTCGATTCGAGCCGATTCGAGCCGATTCGAGTCGATTCGAGCCGATTCGCCGATTCGAATCGATTCGAATCGATTCGAATCGATTCGAATCGATTCGAGGCATTTTTTTAATTTTTCTGGGTGGTTATTCGAGTCTGGGTGGTTATTCGAGTCGATTCGATCCGATTCGAGTCGATTCGAGTCGATTCGAGTCGATTCGAGTCGATTCGAGCCGATTCGAGCCGATTCGAGTCGATTCGAGCCGATTCGAATCGATTCGAATCGATTCGAATCGATTCGAATCGATTCGAGGCATTTTTTTAATTTTTCTGGGTGGTTATTCGAGTCTGGGTGGTTATTCGAGTCGATTCGATCCGATTCGAGTCGATTCGAGTCGATTCGAGTCGATTCGAGTCGATTCGAGCCGATTCGAGCCGATTCGAGTCGATTCGAGCCGATTCGAATCGATTCGAATCGATTCGAATCGATTCGAATCGATTCGAGGCATTTTTTTAATTTTTCTGGGTGGTTATTCGAGTCTGGGTGGTTATTCGAGTCGATTCGATCCGATTCGAGTCGATTCGAGTCGATTCGAGTCGATTCGAGTCGATTCGAGCCGATTCGAGCCGATTCGAGTCGATTCGAGCCGATTCGAATCGATTCGAATCGATTCGAATCGATTCGAATCGATTCGAGGCATTTTTTTAATTTTTCTGGGTGGTTATTCGAGTCTGGGTGGTTATTCGAGTCGATTCGATCCGATTCGAGTCGATTCGAGTCGATTCGAGTCGATTCGAGTCGATTCGAGCCGATTCGAGCCGATTCGAGTCGATTCGAGCCGATTCGAATCGATTCGAATCGATTCGAATCGATTCGAATCGATTCGAGGCATTTTTTTAATTTTTCTGGGTGGTTATTCGAGTCTGGGTGGTTATTCGAGTCGATTCGATCCGATTCGAGTCGATTCGAGTCGATTCGAGTCGATTCGAGTCGATTCGAGCCGATTCGAGCCGATTCGAGTCGATTCGAGCCGATTCGAATCGATTCGAATCGATTCGAATCGATTCGAATCGATTCGAGGCATTTTTTTTTAATTTTTCTGGGTGGTTATTCGAGTCTGGGTGGTTATTCGAGTCGATTCGATCCGATTCGAGTCGATTCGAGTCGATTCGAGTCGATTCGAGTCGATTCGAGCCGATTCGAGCCGATTCGAGTCGATTCGAGCCGATTCGAATCGATTCGAATCGATTCGAATCGATTCGAATCGATTCGAGGCATTTTTTTTTAATTTTTCTGGGTGGTTATTCGAGTCTGGGTGGTTATTCGAGTCGATTCGATCCGATTCGAGTCGATTCGAGTCGATTCGAGTCGATTCGAGTCGATTCGAGCCGATTCGAGCCGATTCGAGTCGATTCGAGCCGATTCGAATCGATTCGAATCGATTCGAGGCATTTTTTTTTAATTTTTCTGGGTGGTTATTCGAGTCTGGGTGGTTATTCGAGTCGATTCGATCCGATTCGAGTCGATTCGAGTCGATTCGAGTCGATTCGAGTCGATTCGAGCCGATTCGAGCCGATTCGAGTCGATTCGAGCCGATTCGAATCGATTCGAATCGATTCGAATCGATTCGAATCGATTCGAGGCATTTTTTTTAATTTTTCTGGGTGGTTATTCGAGTCTGGGTGGTTATTCGAGTCGATTCGATCCGATTCGAGTCGATTCGAGTCGATTCGAGTCGATTCGAGTCGATTCGAGCCGATTCGAGCCGATTCGAGTCGATTCGAGCCGATTCGAATCGATTCGAATCGATTCGAATCGATTCGAATCGATTCGAGGCATTTTTAATTTTTCTGGGTGGTTATTCGAGTCTGGGTGGTTATTCGAGTCGATTCGATCCGATTCGAGTCGATTCGAGTCGATTCGAGTCGATTCGAGTCGATTCGAGCCGATTCGAGCCGATTCGAGTCGATTCGAGCCGATTCGAATCGATTCGAATCGATTCGAATCGATTCGAATCGATTCGAGGCATTTTTTTAATTTTTCTGGGTGGTTATTCGAGTCTGGGTGGTTATTCGAGTCGATTCGATCCGATTCGAGTCGATTCGAGTCGATTCGAGTCGATTCGAGTCGATTCGAGCCGATTCGAGCCGATTCGAGTCGATTCGAGCCGATTCGAATCGATTCGAATCGATTCGAATCGATTCGAATCGATTCGAGGCATTTTTTAATTTTTCTGGGTGGTTATTCGAGTCTGGGTGGTTATTCGAGTCGATTCGATCCGATTCGAGTCGATTCGAGTCGATTCGAGTCGATTCGAGTCGATTCGAGCCGATTCGAGCCGATTCGAGTCGATTCGAGCCGATTCGAATCGATTCGAATCGATTCGAATCGATTCGAATCGATTCGAGGCATTTTTTTAATTTTTCTGGGTGGTTATTCGAGTCTGGGTGGTTATTCGAGTCGATTCGATCCGATTCGAGTCGATTCGAGTCGATTCGAGTCGATTCGAGTCGATTCGAGCCGATTCGAGCCGATTCGAGTCGATTCGAGCCGATTCGAATCGATTCGAATCGATTCGAATCGATTCGAATCGATTCGAGGCATTTTTTTAATTTTTCTGGGTGGTTATTCGAGTCTGGGTGGTTATTCGAGTCGATTCGATCCGATTCGAGTCGATTCGAGTCGATTCGAGTCGATTCGAGTCGATTCGAGCCGATTCGAGCCGATTCGAGTCGATTCGAGCCGATTCGAATCGATTCGAATCGATTCGATTCGAATCGACTCGAATCGATTCGAATCGATTCGAATCGATTCGAGGCATTTTTTTTTATTTTTCTGGGTGGTTATTCGAGTCTGGGTGGTTATTCGAGTCGATTCGATCCGATTCGAGTCGATTCGAGTCGATTCGAGTCGATTCGAGTCGATTCGAGCCGATTCGAGCCGATTCGAGTCGATTCGAGCCGATTCGAATCGATTCGAATCGATTCGAATCGATTCGAATCGATTCGAATCGATTCGAGGCATTTTTTTTTAATTTTTCTGGGTGGTTATTCGAGTCTGGGTGGTTATTCGAGTCGATTCGATCCGATTCGAGTCGATTCGAGTCGATTCGAGTCGATTCGAGTCGATTCGAGCCGATTCGAGCCGATTCGAGTCGATTCGAGCCGATTCGAATCGATTCGAATCGATTCGAATCGATTCGAATCGATTCGAGGCATTTTTTTTAATTTTTCTGGGTGGTTATTCGAGTCTGGGTGGTTATTCGAGTCGATTCGATCCGATTCGAGTCGATTCGAGTCGATTCGAGTCGATTCGAGTCGATTCGAGCCGATTCGAGCCGATTCGAGTCGATTCGAGCCGATTCGAATCGATTCGAATCGATTCGAGCCGATTCGAATCGATTCGAATCGATTCGAATCGATTCGAATCGATTCGAGGCATTTTTTTAATTTTTCTGGGTGGTTATTCGAGTCTGGGTGGTTATTCGAGTCGATTCGATCCGATTCGAGTCGATTCGAGTCGATTCGAGTCGATTCGAGTCGATTCGAGTCGATTCGAGCCGATTCGAGCCGATTCGAATCGATTCGAATCGATTCGAATCGATTCGAGGCATTTTTTTAAATTTTTCTGG